AGGGAACATAAAACAGTTCTGATAGACATGCGACTATCATTGCTGCTAGACATTCACTGAGCACCAGGTGAATATGCAGTACCCATAAATAATGTTGACAGCAAAGGCTATGGATAGGCTGGATGGTGTTTTATGGATTGGGGAGGGCGTGAGCATTTTCTCCTGCCCTTCTTTACTCTATGAGTTTCTGGCTCTTCCCCCATCCTCCACCCGTGATGCCTGTTCTATTGTAGCCTTATCGGAGTTCACCAATTGGGTCTGTGTTGCTCCCGGACAGGAGGAAGGAAGTCAAATAACACTGAGGGTTGGTTCAGAGAAAGAGTTCTTTATTTCTGCTCTCCAGAGCAGCAGAAAGGCACCTGCGTGGTGTGTCCACAGCAAGTCCAAAGAAATGAGAAGTTTCATGCAGTATATATATCCTCCAGGCACCCTCTCCCTCCTTCCCCAGGAATCCAACCACGTCAGCCTATGTACGCAGGTTGACATCACATATGTTCTTGCTTTGGTATTCTTAACCATAAAAGGGAATTCCTTCCTGTACTTCTGACCATAAAAGAATCTTCCTCTTCCTACTCTTATCTTGGAGGAAGAGGTCATCATTTCTGAGAACACGCTTCTGGCATTGTTCCCAGACTTGGGTCTGTGCGTTTTTGTGGTCAGAACATAAGATAAGGCACAAACGTGTTTTCTCTGTTCTGCTGGTACAGTCAGGGTCATCCTTGATGTCACAAACTGATAAAGGAGAGAGCTGTGTTCTTGTTATGCATTTGCTCAACGGCTCAAGTTTATGCATTTTAGCATGGGGAAACCCATTCCTTCACTATCTGTGATACAATGGCTGTGTACTGTTCTATCTGTGATACAATGGGCATGCAGAAATGAGCAAGCCTCATGCTCTCCACTTTCCACAGGGGCTTCCGCTTCTGATTGACCACAGTTTGCCTTGTCATCCAGACCAGGAATTGCGATTCATCCTAACTTCAGTAACTGTGGTTTGAAGATGACTTGTTTGATGTTGCCCCTCTGCATGCCTTTGCAAGTCAGCTGCCTTGGTCTGGTGGTGTTGTGGCTCTAGGATGCTGAAGGGGTGATACTGCACTGGCTTTGGGCTTAAAAGCCTTGGCTACACAAGCTTCCCACCCAGTCACCTTCAGTGACAGCACTCATCCAGACTTCTCCTTGTCCCACCACTTTCCCCTGGGAAAACTCACTCTTGACCATGGAATAGGGTTTTCATCAGGTGGCTGTTTGCTCCGATTCAGCACTAAAGAATGGGTTTCCCCTGGGAATGTGGCAGAACAAGCAGAAAACCACTCAGATCCATGCTTTCTAAGCACTGGACAAGTGTGGACAAGCCCTTAATGTTTCACTAGGCTCTTTTGGTCACCAGTAAACAAGGCCAGAAAGGAATTTTACTCCAATTGGCTCCAATCCCTTGGAGGCTGGCATCAATTTTGTTAGGTGTTCTCAAGCCTTTGTCACAAATCTGTGCACAAATGGTATTGGGCAGGATCAAACCAGTAAGAGGGAGCATAAGGGACCTGGGGGAAGATAATAATAATAATAATAATAATAATAATAATAATAATAATTTATTATTTGTACCCCGCCCATCTGGCTGGGTTTCCCCAGCCACTCTGGGCGGCTTTCATAGAAACAAAAAATACAGTAAAATATCACAGATTAAAAGCTTCCCTGAACAGGGCTGCCTTAAGATGCCCTCTAAATGTCAGGTAGTTATTTATTGCTTTGACATCTGATGGGAGGGCATTCCACAGGGCGGGCGCCACTACCGAGAAGGCCCTCTGCCTGGTTCCCTGTAGCTTTGCTTCTCGCAATGAGGGAACCGCCAGAAGGCCCTCGGCGCTGGACCTCAGCGTCCGGGCAGAACGATGGGAGTGGAGACGCTCCTTCAGGTATACTGGGCCGAGGCCGTTTAGGGCTTTAACGGTCAACACCAACACTTTGAATTGTGCTCGGAAACGTACTGGGAGCCAATGTAGGTCTTTCAAGACCGGTGTTATGTGATCTCGGCGGCCGCCCCCAGTCACCAGTCTAGCTGCCGCATTCTGGATTAATTGTAGTTTCCGGGTCACCTTCAAAGGTAGCCCCACGTAGAGCGCATTGCAGTAGTCCAAGCGGGAGATAACCAGAGCATGCAACACTCTGGCGAGACAGTCCGCGGGCAGGTAGGGTCTCAGCCTGCGTACCAGGTGGAGTTGGTAGGCAGCTGCCCTGGATACAGAATTGACCTGTGCCTCCATGGACAGCTGTGAGTCCAAAATGACTCCCAGGCTGCGCACCTGGTCCTTCAGGGGCACAGTTACCCTATTCAGGACCAGTGGATCAAGGCATGTCCCTAGCTTCTGTGGTGCCCAACCTTGCTTAAACCATTCTCCTGGTTGCCCAGTGGTATTCCGGATACTTTGCTTGTCTCAAGTCAGGTTCCAGCACTGGTCAACTCCCAAGGGTGCATTGGGGGGTTCCCAAACAATTGGTCAGAATGCCATTCCAGCAGCAAAGGCAGATTGTAATGACAACCCTATCTTTGTCCCATTGCCAGGCCAACTTGTGGGCTATTTCCACCCAACAACGGTGCCAGGGCTGTCTTAAGCATATGCGGTGCCAGGGGTGCAAAGCTGTGCCCGGCGGCGTCCCCCCCAGGTTGCCCAGAGTTATCAACCTTTTTTTGGGGGGACCCCAAAGTTGTTGACCTCTTTTAAGGAAAGGTTCCCCAGAGTTGTCGACCAAGGTCCTACACCAATCCCAGGCAAGCAGGAGGGTGGAGCAGGCCGGCCACCTCAGCACCTCACTAACTCGCTCACCCCTGAACTCACAGCACAGAGCCACCTGCAACAGAAGAGCCCGCTGTGGCGCTCCGACCGATGGGAGGGTTCTTCCCCGGACTCCAACTCTCGGGCTCCGGACTCTCAGCCTGGTGCCCCTGAGAGCCCGGCGCCTGGGTGCTCTGCACCCCTGGTGCCTATGGTTAAGACGGCCCTGAATGGTGCCTAGTGTGTATCATTCCTACTATACCCACAAGCCACACAAACATAACCATAAGTGAGATTAGCCAAAGTCTGTTGTTCTAGATCAGGCATGTCCAACCAGTCGATCACGATCGACTGGTCGATCACGGGGTGTCTGTAGTTGACTCCAAAAAAGCTCAACAACACTTTGCTGAAGCCTCCCCCAAAACACTCTGGTCAATCCAATGGGTAGATCACTGCCAGTTTATTTATAGTGGGAGTAGATTGCAGTCTCTTGGAAGTTGGACGTCCCTGTTCTAGATGACATGACAAACCATGGGAAGCCATGGGAAGTGGAATGCCCTCCTTTTTGAGGTCCACCTAGTACCATCATTAACCTCCATTTGGTGCCACGTTAAAGCTTATCTCTTTTCTCAGGTTTTTAATGGATTATTATTATTATTTCTGTTGCCCAGTGCTCATATTTTTTGCTGCTGTTTTATTAGGTTTGTTTTATAGGTTATTGTATGGCTTTTATAGTAACACATTATTCTTTTTTCTGATTTTATGTCATGCTTTCTGATTTTAAAATTTTGCTAAGTCCCTTGGAGATTCCTGATGTGTCAAGTGCCTATAAACTGAATAAATAATAATAATAATCTATGGCTGTTCCCCTCCATCAAACCAGCTCTGTTTCTTTGCTGTGTTCTTGAATGTGACAAAAAGATAATATATTGGGAATTGGCTATTTTATATGCATTTTCCCCCCAACACTTCAGATTATAAATTTCCCCTTAGGGTCAACATTTCAAATTAACAATCGTAAAGAAACGTGCAGTAATAATATCTTAAATCAAGTCACAGAGCATCTCATAAGTATTTTCATACTTGAAATCTTTCTTTCTTGTAAATTAATAAACATACAAACTCGGCCTTGACTGATCTGGGGCAACCAAATTGAAAGGCAGGATGAGAGCAATCCATAGGATAGTCATCTTCAAATATCTAAAGGGGAAGATGGAGCGAGGTTGTTTTCTCCTGTTCTGGAGGGAAGGACCCGAACCAGTGGTTTCAAGTTACAAGAAAGGGGATTTCAACTAAACATCTGGAAGAACGTTCTGATGGTGGGAGCTGTTTGAAAGTGGAACAGACTCCCTTGGAAGATGGACTCTCCTTCCTTGGAGGTTTTCAGGCAGAGGATGGATGGCCACCTATCTGTTAGAATTCCTGCTCCGTGATTGCAGTCATGGGCTTGTTGTCTTTCACATGATGGTGTATGTTTGGACTCCACAGAGTGGGAAGTGACGGAGACAGGATGTTTGTGTTACTGTGTTCTGTGAAGTGGGACTATTGTCCTTTTTTCTCTTTGCTGTCTGATGCTAGAGAGAGAGGGAGCCATGCTGCAGTGCTCCGTGTGTGTTTATATGTAAATAAAGTAGATTAGCCAAAATGCTGAGTTCTGTTACGCAAGCTGCGAAGACTCTGCGGATCCCTAAGTGTGCTGGTGTCTGTTGGCATCAATCGCTGTGATGTTCGGGCAGAAGAAAGCTTTTGAAGCTCCCAAATGGAAGACCAGGAGGGAGGGAACATGGCAGTTGGGCATGTTTCTCTGCCAGGGTCCCACTCGAGTGTAAGAAGAGCTCTTGACACTATCATGGGTGCTTTAGTTGAGATTCCTGCCTTGCAGGGAGCTGTATTAGATGACCTTCCAACTACAGTGTACCTCGGGTTAAGAACTTAATTCGTTCCGGAGGTCTGTTCTTAACCCGAAACTGTTCTTAACCTGAGGTGCGCTTTCGCTAATGGGACCTCCCGCTGCTGCTGTACCACCGCCGTGCGATTTCCATTCTCATCCTGGGACAAAGTTTGTAACCCGAAGTACTGCTTCCAGATTAGTGGAGTTCATAACCTGAAGTGTTTGTAACCTCAGGTACCACTGTATATGATTCTATATCAGCTGTTCTAAATAAGGCTAACAAGTTTGATGCTTTTCTCCTTATTTTGTATCTTTAATTCTTTGGAATAAACTTTCTCGTTTGCCAACTCTCTCTCTCTCTCAATGAAAAGCATTAAAATTCACAGTGATCAGGTTTTTTCTTCAACCCTTCCACCTGTAATCATTCCCCTCTATTTTCTCCATCTAGAGCTCCCCCAGCTTTCTCTTTCCACCTGTCACGGACATTACCGTAGCCTTCCTTTCCCACCGTGACTTTACCGCCGCAGATGACAGACTGGGATGTAATTTGCATGAACTGCTTTCAAAATTGCCTTGTAAACATGACAGTATGCCCAAGCACTGTCACAGGAAGCTTATTAATATCATTCCCCATTAACTTGACAAACTGGCAGAGAAATGTGCACATGTGAGAGAGGGTACAAGGGCAGTGTGGCAGGCCCGTGTGCCTCGCACACTCCATCAACAAGAGAAAGATGCTGCAGCAAACAGAGTTGCTAGACAGAAGTGAGCAGAACCTGGAATAATTGCTCTGGGGAAGTGTCTGTGACAGAGGAGGACTTTTCTTTGATCTGCGTATTTCATAGAAGATGGAGCAAGATTCCCTGGCACAGAATATATTACTTGAATACAGAATATATCCAGACAGATTGTGAAAGCAATTTTGAAGAAGGGTCTTCCATGACCAGTGGGTGGAAATGGTGTGAAGGGGTGGAATCTTCAGGGAGGAACGTGATCTTTGCAAATTACTAGTTCATTGCTGTTCTTATTTTAATATATATTTTGTGGGTTTTATGATGTAATTTTGTGTTGCAGACCACCCTGAAATCTATGGATGAAGAGCAGTAAACACAATCAATCAATATTAAATATAAATATAAATACATAAATACAAAATTACTTGAGCTACATTGCCCAGAGCTCTAAAGGCCTTCTGGTTGTTCCCTCACTGCAAGAAGTGAGGTTACAGAGAACCAGGCAGAGGGCCTTCTCGATACAGTGGTACCTTGATTCTCAAACCTAATCCGTTCCGGAAGTCCATTCCAAACCAAAGCTTTCCAAAATCAAGGCACGCTTTCCCATGGAAAGTAATGCAAAATGGATTAATCCATTCTAGATTTTTAAAAACAACCCCTAAAACAGCAATTTAATATGAATTTTACTATCTAATGAGACCATTGATCGAAAAAATGAAAACAATAATCAATGCACTGTACTATAAAATAAATAAGGCAGTATTGTAGATGATAAAAATTAAAATTACTTTTTTTCTTACCTGCACCAATGATATTCATTGTGTGGATAGAGGGGACTTTTATCCATTTCCGCAGTCACGTAATCAGTCAATCAGTAGCTAAACTGGGTTCCACACAGTCACAAAAACAAATTAACCAAAAAAGCCACAAAAATGCAAAATAAATAGCAAAAACAAAAGTGTCAAACTTAATCCATTCCAGAAGTCTGTTTGACTTCCAAAATATTAAAAAACCAAGGCATAGCTTCTGATTGGTGCAGGTGCCCTGGAAACAACAGCCAACAGCCACATAGGACTTTCGGCTTCTGAAAAATGTTTGAAAACCAGAACACTTACTTCCAGGTTTTCGGTGTTTAAGAACCAAGGCATATGAGAACCAAGGCGTTTGAGAATCAAGGTACCACTGTTGTGGGGCCTGCCCTGTGGAATGCCCTCCCATCAGATGTCAAGGAAATAAACAACTACCTGACTTTTAGAAGACATCTGAAGGCAGCCCTGTTTAGGAAAGTTTTTAATGTTTGATATTTTATTGTGTTTTTAATATTCTGTTGGGAGCTGCCCAGAGTGGCCGGGGAAAGCCAGCCAAATGGGCGGGGTATTAATAATAATAATAATAATAATAATAATAATAATAATAATAGCTTTCCAGAACCTTCTGCCCTCCAGATGTGGCCATGCTGTCTGGGCTTGATGTGAGTTGGAGTTAAAAGCATTTTAGGGAAGGTTGGTCTACAACATTAGATATCCTCTGGCTTTTGCATATCCTGAATGTTAACCTTCCTCGCTTTCCTATTTTTCCAGAGAACATTCTGGAATCCTACACCCATTTTGGGCAGGAGAGCAGTAGGATGTCAAAAACTAACAGTTAACAAGACAGTTGTTAGTTTTGCTAGGTAGGCAAGTTGCCCTATTTGAATCTGGAACTTTCTGACCCTTCTCAAGCTACCTCATTATTTAGTATAAACAAAGGCGAGATAAATTCTGAGTATGACTTTGATCAGTTCCTGAGAGCCTTCATCTGACTAAAACAAGGAAACAAACCTTTTTAACTTTTCCACCTTTCAACTTTCTCCCCATAAGCCTCTTTTAGTACTTTTAATTTTCACTTGAAAGCCACCTGGGAACTATCCAGGTTCATGAAATTACAGGAGAAACTTCACCTCAACAATTAGCGAAGCCATCTTTCTTTTTCATGCCTCTATTAACCCAGATCCATTGCAGTCCCACCCATTACTTCTAATTCCCTAAAAGCTGTCCAGCCCCATAGCGTCTAGGAAGCTCAACCTCTAGGGATGTCTTTATTTTTCATTCTGCTTTGTAATCTGCCCCTAATCTTATCTATGGGCTTGATTACCTGTTACTTCTTAAATTATCCTTCCAGTTCTCAGGCAGGCAATCCAGAAGACATGTCTTGAGTTCAGTATCAACTCAGGAGCTCCTGAAATTAAGGTCTCTGAAGCATCCTTTATATATCTCCATCTCCATGGAGACTAGACTTTCATTATGACATAAGAGACAGAGGAGAAACTCAAACACCGTTGGCTTGAAAACTCCTTGGCGGCTGCTGGATAAAATATTGAGGTGAACAGAAGGGCCTTGCTAGGCTGGAGAAAGAGAGAGAAAATAGGAATGGAATGAACTTTAAAAACAAGACAGTAACTTATCTGACATTAGAATGAGGTGAGGTCTTGTCCTTATTTATCTAGGTTCAGTGATATTTTAAAGTTCTTCAAATCAAGTCTTCTTGGTGAAAGAATGTATAAACTTTCAGAATTCTTCTTTAGTTAGCACAGAAAGGAAGCTCATTCTAAAATGTTTTAAATCTGCTATTTCTAATCTAAGTAACCATCACCTGGAATTTTAAGCACACTTCACCATCACCTGAATATTTTACAGAGGTATTTAACAGTTTTCTTTAAGCAAGGAGTATTGGTAGGCTGTCAGCCCTGGTAATTTCCCTGCATGCAGGCTTACCCAAAAAAGTTACTACAAGGATAGTTTACTTCCACACGGCAGTGGCAATAACCCACCCTCACCCTAACCCTCATAGAAAAATATGCTGGTGTGAAAAATCATCATGTGATCCAAGCAGCCATTGGCTACCAATGTGATGTGAAAGGCAGCCAGAGAGGAAGCTTGCTGGTAGCAGCCACACAGCCAAGTTAAGCCTTCAAGGTTTCCCCCCAGTGGAAATAAAGACAAATAAATAATGGGCTAAATATGGCCACAACTTTATTGGTTACAGGAGATGAGCGGTATTGGCTTAGGCATTGGTCCTAACCAACTATCCGGCTTCAGCCTGTTCACTTGAAGTCCGGGAAGGGTTAACCACCAGTAGGGGGAGTCCTGCTGATGCACATCAACTAGGAACTCCCCCGGGGTCACCGCTCGGGGGCGTGCCTTAGGCCCTCACCTCCATAGGCTTCGGACAGGGCCACGCCCCCCCGGAATCCTTTATCGGACTACCATTCAATATGTGGGGGAGGTGATGGTGCTTCCTCCCCCCTTCCATCTACATAACAATACCAATGCCTAACCGCCACCCCCCCAGGCCAGCCGATTGGCTGGGCAGGGGGTGACGCAATCAGGGATTCCCTCAATCACGCGGAGGCTGAGAGCCAGCCACCGCACGCATGGTGGGAGGGTGAAGCCCGCAACCCCACCTCCTTTCTACATCAGAAGTGGCTTTCTCATCTGGGTGTAGGCAAATCTGTTCATTTCAGATTCCCCCAGTTTCTCATTTTTCCAATCTTCAGTTCTCCACATTTCCACATCAGTTAACAATTTTAGTGCACCTTTCTTGTAACAGGCACACTTTGTATACATTTTTGCCCAATATTCATTTTTTTGCAAAGCTATTTCCCCCTAAAATAATGCAATTTTGTACGCTCTTTTCACAAATGTCTGGATTTTTATGCACACTTCACCTTAGTTTATGCAATTTTGTATGCACTACTTAGCTGGAGAACTGCGTATCAAAATTTGGAGATGTGAATTTCAAAGGATGAGTGAGTTTTGGTTCACATATTGCTTTTGAAAGTGTGATTTTGATAGATTTGCCTTTAAATAAGAACTGAATTGAATTGATCCACCATTCCTACCTGGTAGTAAGCTCCATTGAACTCAATGGGATTTACTTCTGCATACACTTGGATAGGATTCTACTGTTAATGTACAGCTCAGGCCTGATTATTGGTGCCATCATACACTGCATGGGTCACATTCAACAAACCAAGTGCTTCAGCAGAAACCAGTGTGAAGATTCCCACTGTCTGCCCTCTGTGACTCCTCCAAATTCACTCTGGTGGGTCGGAGAACCCCCAGAACAGGGTGTACTGTAAGAGGGAGATCATTCCATCTGGCAAGCAGCAATGCTTGTGGTAACACAACAATAACAGCAAAAAAGTTGAATTCCATTCCAGGAGACTGAAGGGAGGTACTGAACATTGAATACCCCTTGTTCTGTCAGACAACTTTAGGTTTCTGTACTTTGCATGCCATTGCTGATGGCAGAGGCATCAAGTCCCACATGGTATTGGGGGGCATGTTGAATATGCATGATGTCACACTTGCAACACACACGAGTGCCATCACATGCATTGGAAAGAGGCTGCAAGGCCCGATGAGGCCCTCCGCCACAGCAGGGAGGCCTGATGGGGCCCTCCACCACTGTGGGAAGGTCCTGTGGTGAGGCCCAATGGGACCCAGTCCTTCAGGTTTTGGGGCACTCAGCCACAACCCCGCATACTTGGGGGCGAGGGCTGAACTGGTCCTCAGTTTCATAGAGTTGGCACATGTGGCTGATAGGATATTTTCTCCCCTCAGAAGAAGAGTTGGCACATGCGGCTGATGGGATATTTCTCCCCTCAGCAACAAGCATGCCAGCACAAATTAATTGAGATGGCAATGCAGAAATTTCAGGGCCCCAGCTCAGAGCAGAAATTACAAGATGGCCACAAATGTAGGAGCAATAAGATTTTTTTAAAAGAGAGAGAGAGAGAGAGAGGAGAGTGCAGGAGAGGGGGGAAAGGAAAAGACGTGCAAGAAGGGGAAAAGCAAGTAAACAGGCAGGTTGCTGGCAAAGAGCACAAGACTATAAATGAGATCAGGTTGAGCTGTTCTCAGAAGCTCCCCAAAGTAAAGGGGACATTGAACCTGACAGCTTTTCATGCTTGAGACTAATTTCTCTACTTTGAAACACCATGCTTCTGCATTGCTAAGTGCTTCCTCTTTGATAAAATACATTTTTTTGAAAACTTTGGGAGCACACTTTCTGCTTCCTTCTGGAATCACGATGAAAGGGGCAGCTCACGTCCAAGTGAGCTTCACATTGATTATTTGTAAGTTTTTTTTTGTTTGTGTGTGTGCATTTATCTTATATAAACAGGAATAACTTTAATTCCTTTGGGTCCCGTGCAGTTTTCCTCAAGTTCTCATGGCATTTAGAATGGCCTGAGGAGAAGCTCGGATAAACATGAATGGGAAATTGAAAAGACAAGTACCTAACTTGACCCATTCTCCCCATTCTAGTCTTCAGCCTTAAGTACAGGCGCACTCTGAGGAATAAAAACAAACTAGATGGAGAAAGTAGAACGGCCTTGCATGCAGCCATTTAAAGGTCCGGCCTGCTCACCCATCTCTAGTAGCTTCTTCACTTGGCATGGTTGGAAGAACTAACCTTCAGCTATAAACCATTATGCAAACACACTGTTTCCTTTGGGCCTGCCCAGCAAGAGCTGCAAAATAAGTTAGGGAATTACTTGAAGGACAGACAACTTTTGTATCAGTAATCTTTATTTGATTCCCTCACCCCAAATGTAGCAAAGCTAAAACTTTGAAGTGAATAGGTTTATACATTGGTTCCAGCTGACCCACAGAAGCCTAGGATTGTCCTTTTGTTGTGCATAGCTGTCAAGCGTCCCTTATTTGGCGGGACAGTCCCTTATCCCAGTGCTGTGTCCCGCTGCTGTCCCTTATTGATGATGTCCCTTAAATTTCCCGGGTTTCAAAGGAAGCAGCTCCTCTCCCTCCCTCCCTGCTGGCCAGGGAGGAGGGAGGCTCCAACTGTGTTGCTTGGCTGCGTTGCTCACCCAATAAGGAGTCTAAGAACGACTGGGGGGTGGAGCTTGCATGCCTTGTGCTGATCAAATCAGCTGCGTTGCCTGGGGACTCGCCTTTGCTCAGCGCTTCCCAGCGGAGAGGTGACGGTGGTTTTCCTTGAGGCTTCATTTGGCTGCTGGCTGGGCTTTCTGCCTTTGGCTCGGAGGGGCTCAGAAGTTGAACATACCTGTGCTTGGAAAATCCCTTATTTTGGCTGCTGATCCCTTATTTTCAAATCTGTAAGTTGACAGCTATGTTGCTGTGGTAAAGGTGTTGTGAAAAACTGCCTTCATCTTTTAGCCCAGGTAAGAGCATGGAGCAGTTTTCTCTTTCTTTTTTTTTAAGGAGGCAGAAATAATGTAGGAGATCTAAACAATCACTTGTACGGTTGTTGAATGTAAGATGGAACAGAAGCTGGATTGAAGCTGGATACTTCTTCAACCATGGAAAGTCACCGGTATTATTGATAAAAACATTCTAAAAAAAAAAGGTTTCTGTGAGAGCAACCCTAACTGAGGCCGAGGAGGCATTGCATTGAGTGGTAAATTATCTGCTTCATTTGCAGTCCTGCCAGTCATGGCAGATGGGAAGGGCAACTGAAATGGGCCAGTTTTCTACCACGAGTCCTGCTCCACCTCCATCTTGTCTGGTTTGGGGCTTTACAATGAGTACCCCTGGTGAGGACATTGCCGGTGATGGTGTTCATTCTGCTGCACTTCTGGCGGGTGCTGTGGGGGGTCTCCATGGCAGTGGAACCCCTCCCCCATTAAACGAGGCCAGTGGAAAGGCACTTCCATGGTACCCTAACCCCCTTTAGCAGTGCATATCATGGGGCAGGATTCCTCCGCATTTAAATTTATTCAAGGCATTTCTTCCTTAGATGTTGAATCCAGCTTCAATATTTGGAAGAGTGCAAGCCTTCCAAGTCTTTAGGATTATCTGTTTAGCCACAGGGGCTGTATATTTAATCCAGAACATCTGTGACTAGTATAAGATCCAGATGACTGGTACGTATCCAATTATTAAGTGAACAAATGACAACTCAAAATTTGTAGAGTTGGGCTGACTCATCGTATGACTGCTGCTAGAACTTATGGGTAGCTTTGCATTCTTAATACACATGGGTCATTGTTGGGCGTCCCAGTTCCCTTCTTGATAACACAGCAAACAAAGTTAATTAAAAAGGAAGATTTATTGCAGAAACAGAGTTCGCCGGACGTCTCCAACAAGCTGCTAGTCTCATCAATCATTATGACTCTTCTGAAGACCTCTTCCTCCGATACCAGAAGCAACTGAACTTTCGCTTCTGAATTCTCTTGTTTTGCTTCCTGTCTTGGAGCCCTCCCATTTGTCAATACTGTGGACGGGGGGGGGGTCAGCTCCCGCCTCTTCTCCATCCTCTGAGAGACTGCCTCTTAGGTCTTTCCCACCTGATGAACTGCTTACTTCTCTGCTTGTGGCATTTTGCAATTCTCGAGAGTGTTGGCAGGGTTCAGTCATCCCCTTATCAACCCACATTCCTAGGGGTAGAGGACCCGGCACTAGCCAAAGCTCATCTTGCCTGGCAGTTAACCGTCTCTGTTCCTCACTGTTTCCTTCACTGGAAGCTGGCTGCAAACCTTCCCTGGGGGCTGGCTCATTCATGACAGTCATGGTAGTGAAGGAATGGGTTTCTGTGCAGTCAGTTTGAAACAGGACCCAACCCCCCCTTTTCTTCTTTCTCCAAGGGAGCATTTCTAAAATGCATTAACTTGAGCTGTTGAGCAAAATGCATAACAAGAACACAGCTGTATAAACAAAGCTCTCTCCTTTATCAGTCACGGCAATGGATGACCTTGGCTGTTCCAGTGGAGTAGGGATGACATGTCTGGGTTATCTTACCACACTCTGATGCACAGACCTAGTCCGGGAACAGCGCCAGAGTGTGTTCTTGGAGTTGGTGACCTCTTGCTCCAAGATAAGAGTATAGGAACAGGAATACCCTTTTATGGTTAAGAGTACCGGAGCAGGAACATCTGTTATGTCAACCTGCGTGTACAAGCTGACATGCCTGGATTCCTGGGGAAGGGGGGAAGAGAGTGCCTGGAGGATATATACACTGCATGAAATCTGTCATTTCTTTGGACTTGCTGTGGACTGACCACGCAAGTGCCTTTCTGCTGCTCCGGAGAGCAGAAATAAAGAACTCTTTCTCTGAACCAACCCTCGGTGTCATTTGACTTCCTTCCTCCCATCTGGGAGCAACGCAGAGCCCACCAATCGGTAAAGTCTAATAAGGCTACAGTAGCATCTACTTCTCCAGCATAAAATAACTAGTATTATTATTTTATTCTCAGTAATCCTTTTTAATATATAAGTCTTGAGTGCTGAAATGTGAATATTGAATCGAGTATCTGTATCCTTTGAGCTTGGCTGGTTTGGTGTTGAACGACACTGTTGTTTTCCATGGCACGCAGAGTTCTGCTCAGGCCATAAGCCTATTGGTAGAGGGGGCAACATTTAAGGATACCCTTCTCCCTTTGTCTTTCCCAGTACCACCCCTAACACTGTTCTCTCCAGATCATGGTGCTTGAGACTGCACAAGGAGGGGGGATCAACAAAAATCACTTACCCTCAAGACAGCAGGATCCCAATAATCAGTCTCAATTTAATTTTTTTTATAAAAAAATATTTTTCTATTTTTCAAAAACTTGCAAACATACAAATCACAAACACACAAACCCCATACAATTCCAATACACATATATGTTTGACTCCCTCCCCCCTCGTGATTTCTTTTTAATTTAATTTTTTTAAACTGCATTTTGCACATTAATCTGTTTTAAAGTTATTCTTTTGTTTCTCTGCATAATATGTTTAACTGCTTGTTTTACATTAACACTGCTAATGAACTTATTTGCATACAAGAATTTTTCAAATACAGTGGTACCTCAGGTTACAAACGCTATGGGTTACAAACACTTTGGGTTACAAACTCCGCTAACCCGGAAGTAGTACCTCGGGTTAAAAACTTTGCCCCAAGATAAGAACGGAAATAGTGGTGGCAGTGGGAGGCCCCATTAGCAAAAGAATGCCTCAGGTTAAGAACGGTTTCGGGTTAAGAACTGACCTCCGGAATGAATTAAGTTTGTAACCCGAGGTACCACTGTATTCCACAAATTTCCCCCAATCTTTAATAATAATAATAATAATAATAATAATAATAATAATAATAAATTCTTGGTTTTTATTATATCTGTTAATCTTGCCATTTCAGCACAATCCATTAATTTAACCAGCCACTCTTCCTTGGTTGGTACTGTGTCTTCTTTCCATCTCTGGGCAAAAACCATTTTAGCTGCAGTTTTAAGCATACATAAACAAAACAAAACAAATGGCCCCTTTTGGTATCTCTGTATCTACTGTCCCTGGAAGAAACACTTCTGGGGTTTTTTACTAAGCGTTATCTTAAACATTTTCTTCAGTTCATTGTAAATCATTTCCCAGAAAGAATTTACTCTCTCACAAGACCACCACATCTGTCTCAAATTACTGTAGGTCCACGCTTTGCACATAAATGTTATGTAATCTTTAAACCTCACCATGTGTCCGTGTACTTGATGATACCAGGTGCTTGTCCATAATTGATGTATTTCCTCTGGGTGGTATTTAGTTATTAAAAGTGATATACACTACGTTATGAGGAATGTCTCGCACAGAGGTGCTTGCAATCTCCAGTAAAACCCAGTGTTTAAAAAATATAAAATATTAAAAGACTAAATACTGTTCCGCTACACACACAAAATAGCAGAAAGTAATACAGATCACAAACTAATGTTAAAACATCAAAACCAGAGGACATAGAATCATAGAATTGTGATAGGATATGAGGGTTTGGGGAACAAGTATCACAACTGTAGAGAGGCCTTTTGGAATCTAATGTAAAAGTGCTGTCTAAAATGTATAAAATATTATTGGAATGGGAGACAAAGGATGAGTGAATAAAGTCCTCAATGATACATTGGGCAATAGATATCGGTCATAATATAGACATGGAAGCATGGGAACGATTGTGGAATCTGGATGTAAAATTTACAGCATGTTATGGTCAGCATCTTAAAAAGTAGAGACATCACCTTGCCAACAAAGGTCCGTATAGTAAAAGCTATGGTTTTCCCAGTAGTGATGTATGGAAGTGAGAACTGGACCATAAAGAAGGCTGATCGCCAAAGATTTGATGCTTTTGAATTATGGTGCTGGAGGAGACTCTTGAGAGTCCCATGGACTGCAAGAAGATCAAACCTATCCATTCTGAAGGAAATCAGCCCTGAGTGCTCACTGGAAGGACAGATCCTGAAGCTGAGGCTCCAATACTTGAGGCCACCTCATGAGGCCACCTCATGAGAAGAGAAGACTCCCTGGAAAAGACTCTGATGTTGGAAAAGATGGAGGGCACAAGGAGAAGGGGACGACAGAGGACAAGATGGTTGGATGGTGTTCTCGAAGCTACCAGCATGAGTTTGACCAAACTGCAGAAGGCAGTGGAAGACAGGAATGCCTGGCATGCTCTGGTCCATGGAGTCACGAAGAGTCGGACACGACTAAATGACTAAACAACAACATGGTCTAAGAGAAATTATATGAAAATGATATATCAATGGTATCTAACACCGAGTAAATTGGCAAAAATGTATAAATCTAAATCAAATAAGTGTTGGAAATGTAAAGAGAAAGAAGCTTCTTTTTATCGTATGTGGTGGTCTTGTAGTAAGGTTAAGGCTTACTCGGAAATATATAATGAATTGAAAAGGATGTTTAAGATAACATTTGTATACCCCCCCCAAAAAACCCAAGGAAGCTTTCCTTTTGGAATTATAGGGACAGAACGACCTAAATTGTATAGAAATTTATTTATGTATGCTACTACAGCGGCAAGAATGTTACTTGCCCCCAAATTAAAAGAAGCAGAAGTCACAGCAAAGGAAGAATGGATACAAAAACTTATGGAAATGTCAAAACTTACCAGAAGAATAAGAAATCAAGACAACAAACTTTTAATAAAAGAATGGAATTGGTTTATTGAATATTTACAGACAAGTTGTAAACAGATAAGAACATTGGCAGGATTATTGTAATAACCTGCAGTTTCATAAGTGTATATATTTAAAGTAGATGAATAAATGGACAAATTAAGTTAATTTGGATATGCAGAAGATATTAAAAATAAATTTAAGGAACGGCAGAAAGAGGGGGAAGGAAGTCATGTTTTGAAATGTCAAGAGGATTGTAAAATTGGTGAAATGTATAAATCTGAAAAGAATAAATAAAATAAAAATAAAAATAGAAGCAAAGAATTGTAAGGGACCCCAAGGAACATCTAGTGCAACCCCCTGCTACATATAATCTATCTGCAGCTATCACATACAGGGATTGAACCCACAACATTGGCATTATCAGCACCAGGCTCTAACCAATTGAGCTATCCAGTGATCATGTTGCAAAACTGCCCTTCAGAGGCACGTAGCAAGCTACCACTGGTCCATCTGGTTCAATATTGTCTGTGGTGATTGGCAGCAGCAGTCCAGGAATTCAGGCAGGGATCTCTTCCAGCCCTACCAGCAAATGCTGGGGATTGAACCCAGGACCTTATGAATGCAAAGCAGATGTTCTACCACTGAGCTATGACCCTTCCCGATAAGCATGAGTTTCTGCCAAGGAAAAGGTCACCCCTTCCCTCTCTTTTTCTGTAAGGGTTGCAAGCAGCCTGCCATCAAGCCTTTCTGACTAGAGGCAATGCTAGAGGCATGTTTCCGTTTTTTCCCCTAAAGCAATTTCCCTTCCTGCCTTTTAACCACATATTAAAATATTTGAAAAAATTATTATTATTATTTCTTCACAAGACATATGAGAAAGATATCTTGGACTGAAAGAATCATCACTGGATTCAATAAATTTCTCTGGAGGTTGGCACCAGCTGATTCGCTGATAATATGTTACAATAATCAGATGCTGTAACATATACTCAAGTCACCATGCAGTTTTCAGAAACTGGTTTTATTCCCCCCTTTTTTTTAAAAAAAGAGAGAGATGTTTGCATCTCGAGGCCCCAAGACCCACCCCCAAAATAAATACACACAGACACTTATATTAGTTTAAGATTTTGGGCAAAATTTTTGGCCACAACTTTATTGAAATACAATCACGTGAGCAGTATCGGCTTAGGCATTGACTCCCCACTATAACTGGCTCCATCTCTCAGGATGATCGTCAAATGGGGTAAACCAAATGAGGGAGCTAGGTCGATGAGGAGCAACCTAAGCTCACCCTGGGGTTCCTGTGGTTCTGGCATGGCCCTAGAACCTCAAGCAGACTTTGGATGAGATCCAGGACCCCCAGATTCCTTTAACGGAATACCCAGTTCCTGGTGGGGCAGGTGATGGCCGCACCTCCCCTCCCCACACTCCAACTGAGCCAATGCCTAACCGCCACCTTACAAGTTGTGACAATTTGCTAAGGGGTAGGTGAAAACCAAATGGCTAAAGCCAATCTGCCAAATGGAAAAATTCCTACCCAGCCCCTGTTCCAAAACAGGTGACCCAAACCAAAGCAAGGCCAAGCGACTCTACCTAAACCAGGGAGGGTGGGCGGATGTTCAACAGCGCAAAGCAAGTGCCCCTCCTTGCAGCACACTGCCATTTTTAAAGCCCCTCGGTTAACGCCACCCACTGGCTATTGGCTAAAATTGCCTGGTGTGATCCCAGGGGAATGGCCAGGACTTCTTGCTCCCCCCCCCATTTTAACCCTATCAGGTGAGTTCTTGGGTCCCGCGCGCAACCAGGCCCCACTGTTATAAGGATCCCATTTTTGGGACAACGGTCAAAAGTAAGGCTGTTTGTCTGGAAAGAAAGTTACATGGTCAAGATGTAAAATGTATTGAAAAATGAGGCATGGAGCCTTTCTCCTAGCTATTTACAACCTGTGTTGAATTTTGCAATCCATCACTTGTCACTTTATTATTCCTTTTAGTAGTAAGCACCAGCTACTCTAACAAATCATTTTCAGATTTACATTACATAATGGATTAATAACACAAACTCCCCGATCTTATCTGTTTCTTACCTGCTGCCACAGCTCTGGCGATGGCTGGGACTTTGTAATTCATCCCAGCATTAAAATTTTATTTTCCAAACGCACTTAAGGAATGTCAGCACCACTGGGATTGTTCGGAAAGGTTATTCATGATAGCTTACGATGCTGACCTTTACTTAAGACTGAAGTAAACAAGTTGGATCACAGGTATGGGTTCCTCGTAAGCCCAGGCACGCGGTTCCTCTGCTCAGGTGCTCTGTAACATCAGTTTACCCCAAAGACGCATCCTGGAAATATAAGTGCAAATTAATTAGCTACTGCCTTGACACTAGCATATGGCACAACAGCCTCACACTCCCCTTGAACTGGTTCGTAAGTGACATTGCCATCTGCATGGGGCCATGTCCAGCTAACAATCTGTCTGCTCCTTTTGTGTTGGAAAAGCCTCCGTAATTAAAATGAAAACTGTTGCTGTCTTCAAAGTCTTTGAAAACCCCAGGAAGCAGTCCTTTGCCTGGACGAGCAGGTTTTTGTGTGTGAATTAATTGTCTTCATGAATAGCAAATAAGAGCTGGGTCCTTACCAAAATAAATACAGGCACATTGTCTAGGCTGCTTCTTTTTATGGTTTTGGTTGGGTTTCGAATGTTACTCAGCCTCATGGTGCACTATGAAGATCGCTCTCTGCTCATGAAGTAGCCTTCAGGTTTCAGTAAAAGATAAATAGTATTTGGTTATGGTGACTATGGTTTCTATTGCTTTTCTAACACTACATTTTAGAAATCAAAAGGCTAAATACCGTATTTTTCACTCTATAAGATGCACCAGACCACAAGACGCACCTAGTTTTTGGAGGAGGAAAACAAGAAAAAAAAAATATTCTGAATCTCAGAAGCCAGAACAGCAAGAGGGATCCCTCTTGCTGTTCTGGCTTCTGGGATAGCTGCGCAGCCTGCATTCGTTCCATAAGACGCACACACATTTCCCCTTACTTTTTAGGAGGGAAAAAGTGAGTCTTCTAGAGCAAAAAATACGGTAACACCAAGGGAACTGAACAGCTTGCAGATTTGTAGAAGTATCTTTTGAAAGGTGTTGATCTCTCTTTATCACAGAAACAACCTCATTTAATGAAAAAAAAGTGGGTTTTTTGGAAAATTGGACTTCTGACTCCTGGTTCAAAAGTTCATTGGAGTGGAGACCATTTTGCTTCTGTCACTCTAGAAAACTGATCCACAGTAGCACTAAACAAATCATGATTAATAAGATATACATTTTAAAAATCCAGCTCCCAATGCATCATCAAACTCTACTGACGTTTTGTGACATTGCCGTGTGACCAAGATGTAGATCCCAGAGAACAGATCTCTAAGCAGATAGGTGTTGCTGTAATTCTCAATGGCTCCCATGACATTCTGTGGGTGCAAACTTGTGCACTTTTACATAGCTGTAGACTTTGCTGAATTCAATGAAATATTCTGAATAAACAGATAAAGGACAGAGCAGAAAGCAGATCATTTCTATACTTACAGCTGCCAATTCACTATTATAGTAACACATAAATACAATTGCTATGAAATTAGCAATATGTTAACAATGGCTTTTAAGTTAAGAAGCATATTCAAGTTAAATTGAGGGTACACTAGATTTTTACTGGTTAGCTACTTTGGGGGTGAAAATCACACCAGAAAGTTCATATGTGTTCAAAAGGGAAGCACTTATTTTTAGGATCCATCTTTCAGCAGCAGCATCTAATAATTCCCTTAGCTGCAAAGCTTTGTGTTTCATATCTAACCTCATATTGACACAACTTGCTCTCTTTGGAACAGAGCTTTTATAATAGACTAGCTTTCGGAATCCCTTGCTCCCCAAACAAAAACTGACACAAATAGCCTTATCGCCTTGGGCTGTGGTCTTTCAGGCTTCACAAGATAATCCAGATCAGACTGTCAGAATGTGGTGGGGGATGCTCTGTTTGTCCCCATGGAACAGATTTCTACAATAACTCCTTTGCATAAGTGGATAATCCTAGTGGCTCTAAGAAAGGATCTAAGTGTTGAGGGACCAGGTCCAGGACACGAGCAGTAATACTACCAGGATACTAGATTGTTGTCAGCTCCAGTTACATGGGTTGAAAAACGCAATCCAAATGGGTAACCAATTTTGATTATGTATCTTTCACATTTATGCTTCCATGGGAATGATTCCAAACCCACCTCCGAAGATTTTGGATGTGACAAGGATGCGGAATGAACAAGAAACTCAACTACTTTATACTTTTGCTTCTTCCACAACAATGTTATCATCCAAAAATGTTACTTTGACATCTCCCCTGCCTGCAAAATGCATGAACCGAGTGGGGAAGAAACAAGGATTGTATTTCAGATGAGATGGTTGCAGAGGAACAAGGTATACAAGGGGGTTTCATTTTCACAGAAGCCACAAGATCTTTGTGTCACTTGTCAACCTTTCCAGTTGTCCAAGTGTTGTTGCAAATTACCATTTCTGTGTCTCTTCACTATTTTTTCCTTGATGACCAAGATTGTGAATTTTGATAACAACTCTTGAATGAGAGCCAGTGTTTGATTTTCAAAATTGCAGGATTAAATGTTTGCCTATCCACCTTATAACCTTGAACACTGAGCTTTGGAATGTTATATCTTGAGGAATTAGGTTACTATTGTTTAAAAGATGTGCTGTCTTATTTTTAAATAACAGGATGTGTGATATGCAGTTCTTGAATGAATCTGCAGTTCTTGCCCCTGGGTTTCACTGACAGTTATTGGTTTCTAGTCTTTGCCAGATCAGTTTTGTCATTATTATCCTTTGAAATGTTGCCAGAGTTAGAACCTTCATAATCATATATAAATGTTTTCTCATTACCTTAATTTATGCAGACTGCAGTCCTATATCCACTTATGTGGGAGTAAGCCTCATAAGATTGTGCTGTAAGAAATTACATGGAGGGTGTACATCAGGGATGGGAAAAACTATTACCCTCCAGATGTATGTCATCACCCCCTGACCATTGGTCCTACTGGCTAGGGCTGGATTTCACTAAATTTTCAACACCTTGGGTGATCCCCCTCGTTTTTGCTACACTTCTGTTGTCTTAGGTCTCTATGGACTCTATGGATGCGCATAGCTGAAAAAAGTTATTCCTCCTGGTCAGTCATGGGGAAAGATGATTTATTTAAAATAGTCTTACCTCATCTTTCCTCTGAAAAGTGCTCAAGGCACCTTACCAAAATCAACATCGGTACAGTATCGGTACAGGAAAGAAAAGGGACGCAGGTGGCGCTGTGGGTTAAACCACAGAGCCTAGGACTTGCTGATCAGAAGGTCGGCGGTTCAAATCCCTGCGACGGGGTGAGCTCCCGTTGCTTGGTCCCTGCTCCTGCCAACCTAGCAGTTCAAAAGCACCTCAAAGTGCAAGTAGATAAATAGGTACCGCTCTGGCGGGAAGGTAAACGGCGTTTCCGTGAGCTGCTCTGGTTCGCCAGAAGCGGCTTAGTCATGCTGGCCACATGACCCAGAAGCTGTATGCCAGCTCCCTCGGCCAATAAAGCAAGATGAGTGCCGCAACCCCAGAGTCAGCCATGACTGGACCTAATGGTCAGGAGTCCCTTTACCTTTACAGGAGAGAAAACTGACTGCTGGTGTGTGTCTTTTTGGAATTATGAACGCTCCAAGATAGTCTAGCACAGAGGCAGGGATTCTGGATGTTGTGAAGAGGTCACTGGTATTGGTTATGCTCCCTAATTCATAATAAAGTAACAAATAGAAGCTTTTAATCTTGCCATATTTTAAATCAAACACTGGCCATGGGTCTGATGGGCGTTATGTCCTTGGAGGGACACAAGTTCTTGACCTGTGGTTTAGATCAGGGGTGTACAAAGTGGGGGGCGGAGGGGGTGGGCCACCCCAGGTACCACTTGAGGGGTGACAAGATGGCCCCTGCCTCCCCCCAGCTGTAGAGGGGCTGACGGTCCCGCTCTCGCATGGTGTCCATACGGGCTGCCTCTCGCATGGTGACCGTGCAGGCTGCGACACTTGCGCACTCCGTATGGGATGCCGTACGGTCACCATGCAAGCAGCAGCCTATACAACTGCCACACATGAATGGCATCCCATACAGAGTGCACATGTGCGGCATCTTGTACGGACTGTGCACGTGCGGGATGCCACACATGCGCACTCCGTGTGGGCTTCCTCCACCGGTCTAGATTAATTAAGGCCACTGAAACACTACTTGAATGAAACCTTCATTGAAGTCTGTAAAACAAGCTTCCAGCAAAATCTGATTAGGTGTGCCATCGATCCAAAATCCAAGAGACTTTCAACGGTCACATTAAAACAAATCGTCCATCTCTGCTTTCACAATAGAGCAATCTCCTCTCTCCAACCCTCACATACTGTTTTGTGGGTTCTCCTGACCCCCCAGAACTAATCTGGGGGTGCATGGAGAGGCGAGAAAGCCCTGTTGCTTTAGCAGGAGCTCTTGTGCAGAGTCTCCATAGTAGAATTACGTAGCTGAACCCTATGACTGTACAAAGTGGGTAAACCAGTACCGAAATGCAAAATTCCCATTCATAACACAACCTAAGAAAGCAGCATACTTTGACATTTATGGCTTTGCTTTAAACAAAGGAAACATCAGCCTGCTTTCTCAAAGCAGCAAGATAATTTTCTAAACAATGGCAAAAAATGGAGAACATGGATATTGTTGAGAATGCAGCAGATGGTTCTGGAGAAAGATTTTTGCAAATATTTGGCAGGAATTGGAAGAGAAATAGCATTTTAAATAATGCATCAATTCCTTTTACCCTACCTGATAATGTGCTGCTGTGAACTACTGACGACTCTTCTAGAACTTCACCATCCCCAAGCCTTGGTCCCACTGTTTTTAAGTTAGTTGCTCTTTCCATGATAGTGGACCACCGTGAAGGATTAATGGACCATACTTCAGTAGCTTTCCTGTTACAGCAGCGAGGATTTCAGAATCTAAGAAGGTTCTTCAAATTCTGTAGAACAAACATACAATAGCTTTTCTGTTATATCTCAAGGAGTTCTGTCGCTTGTTCAAGGCACTGGTTGACTTCTGTAAAACTAAATGGCTGTCATGACAAACTGGATCACAGAATAGATGGGAAAGGCTCCCTTTGGTCTGAAAATTCCTGTCTTTTCAGAAATAAGGACTGTTCTAGGTGTGAACTGGCTGTCAGTTTGCTTTTCTTAGTACAGAAAGTATTGGTCTGATGTGTAGAGAACTTTCCTATTCTAATTAATTCAAGAGGGTTCTGGAAGCATCTCTGTGTGAAAGAAACAAGCATAAGGTTCATGACGTTTGGGTTATTCCTTCAGAGAAGCTGAGTACAGTTGGCTTAAACTGGTTCTGTTATCTCTTTCAATCAAGGTCATGCCGACTATGAAAAGAGGCCAGAAGGAGCCTGGGTTTCACTTTCTCTTTCTATCTCTTTTCCTTCTGGTGTGGTGTTCTGTACATAGTATGCTTAGTGTTAAGGTTGAGTCTTATTATAAGTCATTGTAAGTTTAAGTTGTCTGCTGCCACTAGATTTCTTATGGACAGTGCCAATCCTGAATGTGATGGATTTGTGACCATTATGCTCATCTGCCTTCAGTAGCAGCAAAGCTCTGCTGGATGAAATATAATTGCCTCTGGTCTATTTTGGGGAGATCCTGCAATGTGTTTAAGTTTTTATTCTGCTAACTATATGTCAGAGTTCTGCTCTGGATTAATATTGAGTAGAATTTAATGGCACTGGCTACACTTTTATTACACTTGAACCTACAGTTCTTTGATATAAAAAGGGGCATGAAAGATCATCTGTTGCTGTCAAGCCCAGGCTGACTTGTAGGTACCCCAGGAAGAGTAGTGGTTCGTGATAATTAATTGCAAGGATCAAAGCTGATTCTACAGGCAGTAATCTCTCCCAATCTGGGTGTGTGGTTGCTATGAGATAGGCAAAGACCTCCTGTTCCTAAATATGGTGACTGAGTAAACTATATGAAGGTCCATGTGCTAATTCAGCCACTGGGAGGGCCCCCAACAGACTGGGTGGGTGGAAAATCCCAAGATGGTCAGCAAAGAGGACGGCCTGCACCTAGCCACCCAGGGGTTGGATGGGCACAGTTCCCTTTTCCCTGCACCTGCCCTCAACTGGCCTTGTGGACCACCCCAGCTGGAAGGTCCAGAAGGGCTGGAGGTGAGTGGCACCCGGTTGCCATCCTTTACCCCAGCAGTGCAGGAAGATGGTAGTCTCCTAGGACCAGCCACATTCATGCTTGAGGCAAATGCTGTCCCCCAAGCCCAAGGGGAGCAGATGTTTTTCAAGGTAGGGTACTATGATGGTGACCAGGAGATGGTGGGGAGGAAAGGAATGGGTTGCTCATATTTGCTTCTGGGTTGTATTGGTAATACCATACCTTTACCATAGCTTCTGAGTCTTGCCCACAATGAACTGAACTATGTCAGCACGGAACACTTTTTGTGGTATCATTCCCTCTATTTCCACAGTTCAGGCTGTGCGTGTCATGTGTCATGTGGCCAAAATGGCACCACTCACACACAAGAGAGAGGTATCGGAAGACTTGGGGAACGCCACAGTTTGCAGAAGCACCAACAAATCTTCAGAGTGTGCGTGGAAACACGGCAGTCATGGAATGCTGAATGTCTGTTGGAAAGGGGGAAGAGAAATGGAGAAGGACTGAATTGAGTGGGTCGAATTCTGAACTGTAGCATACCCCACTGCCATCTTTTGTTGCAGTTTACATATATATGTACATAGAATTTCAATTCAGATAACAGCCATTTATGATCTCTGAGCTCTGGACTATAGCTGAAGGCTGAGGGACGTTAATAACACCAGTGGCATAAAAGCTGAAGGAAGATGATCCAGATACAGAACTGATTTTTTAATTCCTTCTTTACTTCCTTATTACTACTGCAGAACAACACTTTCTGAACATATCTGTCCTCTAGCTTGCACCATTTCCCCCAGGCAGCCTGGACTACCTTATTTATTAGCAATCCATTTTGTGAATTCTTAGAAGATACATACATTCTGCATGCACTTATGGGCTTTGATTTACTGTGTGCAATAATTGGGCTGCTTTCCGCTGACATTTATTACAGCATAATAGTGTTAGTCGTCAAACCCTGGCTTTTATTTTTCTTCTAAATCAAATCTTATTAATATGTTCAATTAGCTGAGTTGATCACATTCCCTTCCAAATGGCACCTCGCAATGTTAACACTTTCAAACGGGAAAAGTGGTCACCATTGTCGCCAGCTGCACTTTGTTCAAAAAACAGGTTAATCGCAAATGAAGCAGCAGCAAATAGCTTCCAGCGAAAATGCAAATGCAGGTCTTGTTCACATAGCAGGGTTGTAAAGGTATTGATTTAGAAGCTACGGCTGACTTGCTGCTACCATTTTGTCCACCTGTATTTTAATTGGCTGGAGTGCTGCCCTCCTGATTTAACTTGAGTGGATCCCTTTCCAGACCAATCTGTCAGATGATTCCCAATACAGTGGTACCTCAGGTTACATACGCTTCAGGTTACAGACACTTCAGGTTACAGACTCCGCTAACCCAGAAATAGTACCTCGGGTTAAGAACTTTGCTTCAGGATGAGAATAGAAATTGTGCTCCGGCAGCATGGTGGCAGCAGGAGGCCCCATTAGCTAAAGTGGTGCTTCAGGTTAAGAACAGTTTCAGATTAAGAACAGACCTCCAGAATGAATTAAGTACTTAACCTGAGGTACCACTGTATAGAAATCCCAGGAGAGCACGTTTAGGGTTGCCATATTTAAAAAAGTAAAAAACAGGACACCCCAAAATTGTTGAGCTTTTTTGTATGAAAACGCCAAGAAAACACAATTTTTTGATCGAATTGCCTAAGATGTGCCCTGTTGCCAGACAAAGAACTTGAACCCCCAGCTCCAGTTCTACGAAAGACTTTAGTGCTCAAATCATATTGGTACATAAGGCAAACTAAAGCTTCCAACGTTCAGCAGGTGCAACAAGACGTGAGAATGCATGACAAAGATGTTCATCCAACAAGCCTCCTGCACCCTCCTTGTGAAGTGGGCACATCTGTTTGTACAGCAAGCACCCCAAGTCCTAGGACTGGTCAACTGAACAAGCATTGCTTTGAGTAGGCTGGCTGATAAATGCTTGTCTGCACTGTAGTTGCCAGCATCATGCGCTTGGAAATGGGGGTGGAGTCAGAGCCATCCTGGCATCAGATTTACTTTCAGCCATCTTCCCCAAAGGGGGAGGTTCCTTGCTGTCAGGAGGCGGCCCCATGACTGGAAGAGGTGAGCTCGGGGTGTTCGGTGGTTTAGGGGTGGGATATTCGTCTGTCAGCCTACTAAAACTGAAAGTCTTTTTTAGCCCTTTCTGTCCAAGAGGACCCAATGGCCGACCCAAAGCATTGGGTCGGCCAGTCCAGAATCAGAGAATATTTCACTGCCAGGTAGATGAGACAGTCGCACTCAGAAATAGCTGAGTGCTGCCCATTCTAGTCTCAAGAGGACCTGACACCACCTCAGTGTAAGACCAAGAGAGTTTGCTGCTTAAAGAAGTGCACACTTCTGCTGCGGCCAACAATTTTAAAAGGTGTTGCCTACCATTCAGACGCCAGTTCCTACCTTCACCTATACCCCTTCCTTTCCTTAACCTGTTGTACAGCAGGGGCCTGCAGTGCTTTAGCTGTTTGACTACCTCTCTCTTCAGGGCCGGTCCACTCATGAGGCAAGGTGAGACAACTGCCTCAGGCGGCACGATCCACAAGGGCAGCAAATCCCAATGTAGATTTTTATCTCTCCCCCACACCCTACTCTTGATGATGAAGAACAAGAGGAGGAGGAGGAGGAGTTTGGATTTGATATCCCGCTTTATCATTACCTGAAGGAGTCCCAAAGAGGCTAACATTCTCCTTTCCCTTCCTCGCCCACAACAAACACTCTGTGAGGTGAGTGGGGCTGAGAGACTTCAGAGAAGTGTGAGTAGCCCAAGGTCACCCAGCAGCTGCATGTGGAGGAGCGGAGACGCAAACCCAGTTCCCCAGATTACGAGTCTATCGCTCTTAACCACTACACCACACTGGCTCTCTGTAGGTTTTCACTCACCCCTTCTTCCCAAGTGGGGAAGGAGATGCCATTTTGTAGCTTGCCTCAGGTGCCAAAATGACTTGCACCAGCCTGGTCCCTTCTCAGCCAAAGAAATCAAAACAAAAGGTTTTTCAAGGTCCTGGTAGCCTATCATACAGGTGAAACTCGGAAAATTAGAATATTGTGGGAAAGTTCATTTATTTCAGTAATTCAACTTAAAAGGTAAAACTAATATATAAGATAGACTCATGACATGCCAAGTGAGATATGTCAAGCCTTTATTTGTTATAATTGTGATGATCATGGTGTACAGCTGATGAAAACCCCAAATTAACAATCTCAGAAAATTAGAATATTAAATGAAATCAGCAAAACAAAGATTGCAAATAGACCAATATTGGACCTCTGAGAAGTAGAAGCATGCTTATGTACTCAATACTTGGTTTGGCCCCCTTTTGCATCAATTACTGACTCAATGCGGCGTGGCATGAATGCTATCAGCCTGTGGCACTGCTGAGGTGTTATGGAAGACCAGGATGCTTCAATAGCAGCCTTCAGCTCTTCTGCATTGCTCGGTCTCATGTCTCTCATCTGTCTCTTGGCAATGCCCCATGGATTCTCTATGGGGTTCAGGTCAGGCGAGTTTGCTGGACAATCAAGCACAGTAATCCCATGGGCATTGAACCAGGTTTTAGTACTTTTGGCAGTATGGGCAGGTGCCAAAGTCCTGCTGGAAAATGAAGTCAGCATCCCCATAAAGCTTGTCTGCGGAAGGAAGCATGAAGTGCTCCAAAATCTCCTGGTAGACGGCTGTGTTGACCCTGGATTTAATGAAGCACAGTGGACCAACACCAGCTGATGACGCTCTCCCTTACCCCCCCCCCCCGTTCCTCCTCCAGTGGATGGGTCATACATTGTGCAAGTCGTAAATTGTGCAGGGCTGATTTATTCCTTAGATAAGGAAGGAATAAATGGGAAAACATTGTGCCTCTTTCCTGTTCAGCTCTTCACGTAGAGCAGGCATGGCCAAACTTGGCCCTCCAGCTGTTTTGGGACTACAACTCCCACCATCCATAGCTAACAGGACCAGTGGTCAGGGATGATGGGAATTGTAGTCCCAAAACAGCTGGAGGGCCAAGTTTGGCCATGCCTGATGTAGAGTCTTCTGTAGCACACCCTGCTATGACCAGCCTGGGAGTATTCTACTAATGGGGCTTCCTATCTTACAAGTCTGAAAGCCATGCAAAATACAGGGGAGAGGATATGAATCATAGGAAGGCCAAGTTCAAACAGATGAAAACTGAAATGGATGAAAGGCTTTCCTTGCCAAGCTCACATTCTCTCTTAATGCAACAAAGCGCTGCTAATGACCATGTGAATATTTGTTACATCAAGCCCTCTCTCTTTTGGGGGAAAATATCTTTGAATGAGATCTTTTCATATTTTAATTTTGACTGTCCATTTAACTTCATTGGCATGTATTTAGTCACAACTGGTAACTGTACACCATCTTAGAAAACAAGTGGAAACTGTGTGTGATTAAAACACCCTATTTTCAAGTGCATTTATGAAGGTTTTCCTTCTCTCTTTAGGGAAGTGGCTTGTGTAATCCAGAAGACTGGGTAGAATTCAAGGTTGGCAAGTTTACTTACTGCTGTCCTGAGTTTAGGGTGGATAAAGATTCCATAAAGGTGTTTTTTTGTCACCGTGGTGGTATTTTTTTGGAGTATCTTGTATGCCTTTTGACTTAACGGTTGCACATTCTTCAAAAACAGAATAAAATCACAGACCACCTAGTCCCCTACATAAGGGGAAAGCTTCCACTCGGCTTAGATTTTTCTCCCTATTAAGAAGACATTGTCTGATTCAGTGAAATAATAAAATTAAGCATGCAAGAGATCCAACTTAAGTGATTTTTGGAGGCAAATGAACCTGAGCATAAAACAATTTTCTTTTTATCCTCATGAGCACTATTTCCATGCTAGATTAGGTTGCTGTGTGTTTCCACAGTCTCATGAATACATTTAAAGCACTGGAATTGAGTCAATTCAAATAGCTACCCATGCCTTTGATTATAATCCATATTAGATCCCAACCATTAAAAATCAGAATCTCTCGTACACAGCTTTCTCATTTAAACAGCTCCTTTTAACCCCCGAGATAATGCTCCCGCTTTATATGTGGGCTGATATCAACGTTTGCTTTAGTTGTGAATGTGTGTTTGATAGAATGCTTTAATGCTGCTTCAATTTAACAAGATACACTTTAAAGGTTTTCATTAGGGAAATGGGGTGTTATGCAAAGTAGTTAAAATGGAAGTTAAAGCAAAGGAGTTTTCTTTTTAATGAAAAGTAAGAAGTCAAAAGAGGTGAACAGAAAGAATAGTCACCCTGAAAATAATTACCTTGTGTCGTAAGGAGCCCATATCTTCAGAAAATAAGCACTCTCTAGGGTGTTAGACCAGGTCTAACCACCAACATGACATAAGGCTTCTCCACACTTCCTCTTGTTCCACTACTCTCTAGTGCTTAGCTTATTTTTCCTAAGTTGCTATTTTGTTAATGCTGTTTATAGATTATAAATGCCATGTTGATTAGTTAAGTCATATAATATGACTTTTGCTGCGGTCGTGATGTTCAGCTTGTTTTCTGGTTGCTGTTTCGTTAATAGTGTTTCATAGATTGTAATTACCTTATTGATGATTTGTTAACCATTTTATGAGATTTATGCTGTATTTGAAATGTCCTATCGTGCTCTATTAAGCTGCCATTACTGTTTGTACGCCGCTTTGAGATTTAGCGGAATAAAAAGAGGAATAGAAATACAGTGGTACCTCGGGTTAAGAACTTAATTAGTTCTGGAGGTCCGTTCTTAACGTGAAACTGTTCTTAACCTGAGGTACCACTTTAGCTAATGGGGCCTCCCGCTGCCGCCGTGCGATTTCTGTTCTCATCCTGAAGCAAAGTTCTTAACCCGAGGTACTATTTCTGGGTTAGTGGAGTCTGTAACCTGAAGCGTCTGTAACCTGAAGCGTCTGTAACCCGAGGTACCACTGTATCACCAACCAATTGATGAAATGAGCAAACACCATTCAGCTTTTCTGTGGAATGCTGTTTATTCCAATTTAGAGCTAATGAGTGGGTTTTCACTGGGAAAATAGCACTTCCTGGAGAAGAGTCAATAGCTGGTTTATGTGGGGTGGCGTCTCCTTGCAACCTTAACTGAAGGTGTGGAAATGAGGTTTTCAGTGGGTGTTCACATCTGGAGCCCTGAGGCACAGTACCTGTTGGAGTTGAAAGAAAGCAAGTATTATTCATTTACTCTTTGGATTTTCATTTTGCTTTTCAGATTGCTGGATGTCTGACATCAGGAAATAATTCTGGGAGCTGACTTTTGAACGGTCATCCTAGCCACATGACACAAACCTGCTACATACAGAACATGCGTGAAATGGGAGTCAGTCATTCATGGAGGGGGTCTTCAGTGAGATGATCAAGCCTGCCTTTGTTTCACTGCCACCACCTCTGCCACTTACACTTCTAGAAGCCAGCACCACTTCTGGAAGTGTGGTGCCAGCTTCCGGAAGCACGGTGACTGGAAAGCCACAGCAGAAGGAGAAGGAAGAGTGGGTGATGTATGTGGACAAGGTATGTAGGTGTGCTTTTGGGGTTCCATATTTTTGTCCCGCGCTCTGGTGTGAGCCAGAGCATGGGAGACAAAACAGGACATCTAGGATGGGTTTTTTAAAATATATATTTCTCATAAATTTATTTATTTGGTTTTTCAGATTAAAATTCCAAAGTCACATATCCAACATACAACATAGAAACTAGATTCCAAAGAATCTCCTGGACTTCACTCCTCCCCTTTGTGGGTCCTATTGTCAGGGCCATCTTACCCATAGGCGCTAGGGGTGTGAGGCACTCGGGCGCTGGGCTCTCAGGGGCACCAGGCCAAGAGTCATGGGCCCGAGAGTTGAATCCGGGGAAGAGCCCACCTGTCGGTCGGAGCGCCATGATGGGCTCTTCTGCTGTGAGTGGCACTGTGTTGCGAATTCGGGGGCGACCGAGCCAGCGAGTCGCTGAGGTGGCAGGCCGGCTCCACCCTCCTGGGGGGGGGCACCAGGTGGATCTTTGCACCCTGGCATTGCATATGCTTAAGACAGCCCTGCCTATTAATAAAATAATAATAATAATAATAATAATAATAATGAAATTTTATTTATATCCCGCCCTCCCCAACCAAAGCCGGGCTCAGAGCGGCTAACAACAGTAAAAATAGCACAGTTTACATAAAATCACAGTCAATTAATTGAGATACGTTCTAAAATCAATTCAGAATCAAATTAATGGCAACCATTGGGCTAGAGTTCTATGAGGATTACAGAAGAGGTCAGACTGTGCCCTGGCCAAAGGCTTGTTGGAACAGCTCTGTCTTGCAGGCCCTGTGGAAAGATGTCAAGTCCCGCAGGGCCCTAGTCTCTTGTGACAGAGCGTTCCACCAGATCGGGGCCACGGCTGAAAAAGTCCTCGCTCTGGTTGAGGCCAGCCTAACCTCCCTGTGGCCCAGGATCTTCAAGATGTTTTTATTTGAAGACTGTAAGCTCCTCTGTGGGACATACCAAGAGAGGTGGTCCCGTAGGTACGAGGGTCCTAGGCCATACAGGACTTTAAATGTTAAAACCAGCACCTTAAACCTGATCCTCTACTCCACCAGGAGCCACTGCAGCTGGTATAGCACCGGCTGAATGTGATCCCACAGCGAGGACCCCGTAAGGAGTCTCGCCACGGTGTTCTGCACTCACTGGAGTTTTCGGGTCAGTCTCAAGGGGAGCCCCACGTAGAGTGAGTTAATCATTTCCTCCTACATCTTTTATAGTAATCCAAACATTTTACCTCTCTGTTGTGTCCAAAATTCACCATTAAACTACAAGTGTTACAATGGTTTTTAAGATAAATTATATATTTTCCCCAACAGCTGGGATTGGGATTAGAAACTGGGTCAGCTTCTGGAAATCTGGGATATCCCTCTTAAAACAGGACAGTTGAGCCGTATGTTGATTGTTTCTCTGTCCCTTCCCTGGCAAACAAAAAGTGCCTGGCTATGTGGTGTGCACACTCCTGATAGTGCCACTGCAGCCATGGTTTTAGCTTTCCTGCCCTTGTCATCATATGGTGAAGTGGCATGGGCAGTTGGGTGTGCTTCAGCCAAATGTGGCCTGCGGAGGGTTGGCCAGTTTCTGATCTAGCTCTCCTCCTCCAAAAATAATTCCCTACCTCTTTTCTGGATCAAACTCAGACTGAATCTCTTGTTCAATAAATCAAGATCCTTTATTAGGCATGGTAAACCACACATTATCATACAGGGACCATATACAAATTGTGCAAAATACAAACTCAACATAACAAGGCTTGTCCCAGTCATAGAAACTGTTATTGTTCTACTTTGCAGTCAGCTCTTCCCTGTTCTCTCTCTCCTTCTCAACTCTGTGCCCCCTGCTACCTTGGAATATGGTTCCATGAAAAATCTCTGATTCTCCCTGGATAAAAAAAAGCATCATTTGAATAAACCAAATATGCCTGTAGCTGCTCTTAGGAGGACAGTCTCTGAAGCAGGCTATCCAAATTATCACAGTCAGTGAAAGAGACATGTCACGCCTGAACTACATTCTGAAGCAAACCTCTTCCTCCCCGCCCACCCTAAACTTTTTAAAGAAAACTCCATTGGGATTGCATTTGTGGAAAGCTAAGCAATAACTGAAACCCAATTTTGAAAGAAACCAACCATAAACACCTGTACACATTAGAAGAGGCTTGCGTGTGCAGAGGATCCTTTATTTATAAAGCAATCAAGATTGTAAAGGGGAGGAGAATGCAGCTGACAGGACAGGCGAGAAAAGAAAAAGATCAGGGAGTCTCAGTGCATTTTGAGATTGTCAATTGCCAACGAGATGTTCGTTTTAATGCAGACAGGGAATTGTCACAGCTGCATTTTCCTGGCATGGTGGTTGGTTCCACTTCAGGCCTGACAGGCATGTAATTGAACCCAGAGAAGATTTGCTTGCCGCCGTTGAGAGAAACACACTTTAAAGGGCACTGTCATGTCCTCCCTTTCGTGTTCAGAAATATCCCCACTGTTCGCTTTACGTAATGAATGTCTCTTATTTCGGTGCCCTGCCTTTCACTACTATGAACAGTTTAATGGGGATCTTTCAGTCATTCGGAAGGTTTCTACAAACAAAAACATGTCCAATATCCAAACGGCCTGAGGGGAAAACAACATTCTTTCCTGACATCAAGTTTTGCAGGCAGCTGAAACCCTAAACAAAAATAGACTGAGAGGAGACAGTGGTGAGGTCCATCAAGAGATATTAACTACAATAGCTAAGTGGGATTAAAACTCCACATCCAGTGGCAGTGGACCACAGAGCACTAGGTGCGGACAACAAATGAGAGTTTTCATTCCTTCTTTGAGAGCTTGAGAAGATGCCTGCTGCATCAGGCCACTGATAGCTTTATCCTCCCTGAATTTGCCTAATCCCCCTTTTTTAAAAAAAATAAAAAAAATTATACTTTTCAGGTTTAAACATTTCATTAATTTTACTATCATTTTGACATTTCAAAACTTGACTTCCTTCCCCCTCTTTCTGCAGTTCCTTCAATTTATTTTTAATATCTTCTGCATATTAACCCAATTTGCTCATTTATTCATCTTCTTTAAATATATACTCTTATGAAACTGCTGGTTATTACAATAATCCTGCCAATGTTCTTCTCTGTTTACAATTTATCTGTAAATATTCAATAAACCATTTCCATTCTTTTATAAAGTTTGTTATCTTGATTTCTTATTCTTCCGGTAAGTTCTGCCATTTCTGTGTACTCCGTAAGTTTTTGTATCCATTCTTCCTTTGCTGGGATGTCTTTTTCTTCCCATTTTTGGGCAAGTAACATTCTTGCTGTAGTCGTATATGTAGGAAGTGTTCTGTTGCGCCAGAAGCGGTTTCGTCATGCTGGCCACATGACCCAGAATGCTGTCTGTGGACAAATGCTGGCTCCCTCAGCCTGAAAGCAAGATGAGCGCCACAACCCCATAGTCGCCTTTGACTGGACTTAACCATTCAGGGGCCCTTTACCTTTTTTTAATTTTTATTTTTCACCTCAAGGACTGCTGCTTCCCATATGAAGCAAGCCAGACCCTGTGATCATCATCTGAGGTCTTCCTCATGTGCCTCCTCTATGACAAGTCTGGAGGTGGCAATACAAGAATGAGCCTTTTCTGTGGTGGCTCTGCATCTGTGGAATGCTCTTCCCAAAGAGGCTTGCCTGGTGCCATCATTACGTCTCTTTAGGCACCAGCCAAAAACATTCCTATTTAACCAGGCCATAATAATAATAATAATAATAATAATAATAATTTATTTACACCCCACCCCCCGTCACTCTGGGCGGCTTCCAACAGAATATTAAAATGCAATAGTTTATTAAACATTAAAAGCTTCCCTAAACAGGGCTGCCTTCAGAAGTCTTCTAAAAGTCTGGTAGTTGTTTATTTCTTTGACATCTGATATGAGGATGTTCCACAGAGCGGGTGCCACTACTGAGAAGGCCCTCTGCCTGGTTCCATGTAACTTGGCTTCTTGCAGCAAGGGAACCACCAGAAGGCCCTCGGCGCTGGATCTCAGTGTCTGGGCAGAACGATGGGGGTGGAGACGCTCCTTCAGGTATACTGGGCCAAGGCCGTTTAGGGCTTTATAGGTCAACACCAACACTTTGAATTGTGCTCAGAAACGTACTGGGAGCCATTGTAGGTCTTTCAAGACTGGTGTTATGTGGTCTCGGCGGCTGCTCCCAGTCACCAATCTAGCTGCCGCATTCTGGATTAGTTGTAGTTTCTGGGTCACCTTCAAAGGTAGCCCCACATAGAGTGCATTGCAGGAGTCCAAGCGGTGGCCATTTAAATAATCTATTACTTGTTAAATGTGTGTGTAGGTGAGGACTGCTATTATGATTGTTTCATTATTGTGCTGTATTACGTGTGTTCTGTTTGTATTATTATGCTGCGTAAATTACGTTCATAATGTGGCTGCATTCTGGTGGCTGCTGAATGTTGGACTTGCTGGTTTGATTGAGCAATGCCATTTTAATATTACTGTGACCCGCAGCCACAATGGAGGTTTGTGAATATCTCATATTATCTTTACCATAAAATTCCCAATGGAAATATCCTAAGTTTGATGGCAGAACAGGCTGCCTCAGGGTCATCCTTTGCTGGAGGATTTGAAGCACGGACAGCCATTTGCCACCCAGCCTATAGGTGCATTCTATAGATGGCCCTTCATGATTCTATGTGAATAAATCAGCATTCCAGTATTTTATTAGGAATTGATCAAGATTATAGAGTTTTCCTAATGAGTAAAAAACAATGTATGCTTTCTTGCTTATTATTATATCTGATGAAAACCTCTGGATAACTTGAGTGGGACCTTGCACTTTCACCAACATAAGCTATAAACTGCTTCGGATACGGACATGTTTGTTTCATGCTTTGTAAGGTGCCTTGTGGGTGCTTTTAAACACATAAACAAATAGCACGGCTTCCTATTTTCAAAAGGAATCAGCCACACTGTGTTGCATCTCAAAAAATTTGTTCCCCGGTCCAGAAGTGTTTTTTTGTTTTGTTTGTTTATAGCCCCAGGTATAAGAAAGAGAAATCACCTCCCTAGTTTCTGAAAAGGTTATGAAGCTTCTGATACTATTCTTTCTGGCGAAAATTACAGCAATGTCTTAAATCTGCCAGTGGTGTTAGGTACAAAGCATTGCATACTATATTCTCTTTATGGTCTGACCTACTTAATGGTAAGAGTTTTAAAAGATTTAAAACCAGTACTATAGAGCACAGTCCTTTACAGTACATGTCTAGCTGAGTAGTAAAACATTAAGTTCATTGACACTTACTCTTGTGTAAGTGTGCATAGGATTATAGACGTTCTGTTCTAAAAATCCTAAAATCCATTTTATAATTTTCTCCACTTCTATATTTCAAAAAGTAGGCTCCCTTACCACCACATTAATTGAGCAGAGGGAGGGGTCATGAGAAGAAAACAGTGGCAATGGCTTAATAGATGGAATATAAGGGCCAAACTAGATTCCAAGCCGCTGCTGCTTCGAGCAATGCATTAGCTGAAATTTAGGTTTTCCCCTCCCTCAGATACACAGAATTCTGCATACCATCGTTTGAGCTCTTCCATTCCATTTATATCCATATTCTCTAAAGGGGGAGGGGAAGCCAGAGTGAGAATTTACATTTCAAACATGGTTGAACAGAAACTGAATGAAGATGTCTTATTTTGTAGAGTGCACAGTAGCTAGGGGAATAAACTTGGCAGGCTGGCGACAGGGCGGGGTGGGGTGGGGGCTGGTTGTCTCGTCCTGCTGTTTGAATGAAAATGCCTCCCACTTCTCCTACTCAGAGACATCCCATAAAGTTCTCACGCACTCATTGCCTGTCACCAGAAAGACCCATAGCCCAACAATGTGTTAGATACAGCTGGGGGTTCTTTTAATTCATATCTTGCCCTTCCTCAAATGAGCCCAAGGAATGAGGTAAGGCCATTTTCTGATCATGCCAATCCTGTGAGTTAGGTTAGGCCAGCTTTTCTCAACCTCCAAGCATTGATGGTCCACAACTCCCATCAGCCTCACACCATGGGGTGCAGATGATGGGAGATGCAGTCCAAGAGGTTGGATGGCCATTTGTCATGGATGCCTTGGCTGAGATTCCTGCATTGCAGGAATTCTATGATCTCTGAAGGGCAATGCTCTGTAGATGGCTGGGTTAAGTTCAGAGAAAGCGACATGCCCTTGGTCATTCTCTGAGTTTCATGGCTTGGATCATGGTCTCCTCTGCATTGCTTTCCATGCTGCTGGCCATCTTTGTTGCATTTCCACGCTGAACTTCTTTCATTTTGTCTGTAACAAGTGTAGAGAACCTGTGGACTTTCAGGTGCTGTTAAACTGCATTTAGGGATGGGTGGATCAGTCTTTTCCTAGTCCATGTCAATTTTGCATTGACTTATTTGTAAGTCTGTCTCACTCTGTTTCTGCATTAATCTGTGACATTCCCCAATCTGTATTAAAATTTGTATTTATTCATTTTTTTTTCAAATATGTAGCATACCTAAACAATAATTTACCACAAAAGACCTCTCACCTCATTCTTGCTGGGTAGCAGTGGTAGCAATTTTTGAGACATGGAAAATTTGATGAATAATTATATTCTGATGTGTGTTGTAGTTCAGAATATGCAAGTTAGGTTGGCTCGCTTAAAATGTGAACTAAATGAAATTCTCCTCCATCCTCATCTACAACTACAATAGGTCCAGACCACTGGACATCCTGGCTGTGGGATTTATTTTTCCTTAAATGTAGATTTTTGCATTAGCCTCTATGGATTTTCATTTTGTGAGAGTCAGACCCATTTTCTATCCTATCAAGGTCCCTTTGTATTTTATTCCTCTGTCCTGAGATGTGCTCCTAACATGAGTTTGACCAAACTGCGGGAGGCAGTGGAAGACAGGAGTGCCTGGCGTGCTCTGGTCCATGGGGACATGAAGAGTCGGACACAACTAAACAACAACAACAACATCCTGAGATGTTAGCTATCCCTCCTAATTTGGTATTATCTGCAGATTCGATCATTGTTTCCTCCATACCTTCATCTAGGTCATTGATAAAAATATTGAAGTGTATGCAGATCAGAAGGCAGCTGTCATGATACCCCCTTGAAAATACCTTCAGCTTTATGAGGAACCATTGATGAGCATTTTAAATAGTTTTCCATCTCAGTGAATCCAGCTGATGTGACAGTATTATCATCCAGCTCCCATTTAACCACTCTTGTAGCAAAACTTTGTTGAAGTAGGGCTTTTTAAAAAATAAAATAAAATAGAATAAATGTTTAGCACTAAATTAACATGGCACTGGGGAGAATATCAGCGTCTTACTTTTTCTTAATAGTTTCAGTTCTTTTAACTTTTCTTTCAACTTTTCTTTGATATGGAAACGTTTCCCTTAGCACTTTCGTTGCATCCTAAATTGTCATAAAGTGTTATTAGAATAAATGCAGTCAGTCTTGTTCATGGGCCTGTTATGATTTCTTTGTAAGTGGGGTCAATATTTCTTATTCTGAATTACAATGAAAGCCCCCTTCCACCCTCTTAACTTCCTACAAAACAAGTATAAGAAGTAATGAATAATTCTATCACTTCAAGGAGTTTTAGCATTTTTGAGAAAAAGACAAGATGCCGCAGCTATAGCTATTCAAATTATTCAAGCATTTTCTCCTCTTTTACCACTAAAATAATCTCTTCTGTTTTCTTACATATGGGGGAATGAGGGTGGTTAATTCCCATCATCATGAAGTATGCTTGATGGAGACTCATAATATAAGCAAATGGAGGGGCGAATCTCTATTTCTGGCCTGGCCACTTTCACATCTCCAGACCAGTACAGTCATACCCTGGAAGTCGAACGGAATCCGTTCACCTTCCAAAACATTCAGAAACCAAAGCGTCGCTTCCGATAGGCTGCAGGAAGGTCCTGCAGCCAATTGGAAGCCACGGAAGCCTCATCAGACATTTGGGTTCCAAAGAAGGTTCACAAACCAGAACACTCACTTCGGTTTTGTGGTGTTCGGGAGCCAAAACGTCTGCGTATCAAGGTGTTCAGGATTCAAGGTATGAAGAAGAAGAAGAAGAAGAGTTTGGATTTGATATCCCGCCTTTCACTCCCTTTAAGGAGTCTCAAAGTGGCTAACATTCTCCTTTCCCTTCCCCCCCCCACAACAAACACTCTGTGAGATGAATGGGGCTGAGAGACTTCAAAGAGGTGTGACTGGCGCAAGGTCACCCAGCAGCTGCATGTGGAGGAGTGGAGACGCGAACCCGGTTCCCCAGATTACGTGACTACCGCTCTTAACCACTACACCACACTGGCTCTCTTGATTGTAATTCCATCCCCTTTCTGCATGAATCAGTCTCTGTGTTTTTTTTTTAAATCAGTTCTCAAACATTTATTCAAAATACATGCTTAAATGGTCACCCCACACAAAAAAAAATCTGTATTTAAGTGGGTGGGTGTGTTTAAAAACATTTAAACAGCTGAGCTCTGCATCACAATATTTTGAGAAGTGCAAAATCCACCAAAACAGCTAAGTGGACAGTTTAGTCTGAGAAGTGTGAATTGACTAATTCCGTATAGGAATTCACAAAGCATCACATGAATAAACGTAAAGGGGCCATGGGGCATGCACCACCCTCCAGTCTCCTTGACCCCATGACTGGTGTGGAGAGGTAAAATCTGAAGTGGGTTTCAAGTGTGCTTGAATGAATGCGCTCCATGAGCTAACTCAGGTTTCCTGGCCATGCAGGGCCATCTAAACAGATTCAACTGAACACAGTTGGAAGCCCCTTTCACTCTCCAGTTGTGAAGGTTGCCTGTGAAGATGGGGACGATGGGTGCAGCTTGGACACATGAACCAGATGCCATCTTCAGGTGTTCACTTTAAATGCCCAAAGAAGGTTTGAATTCTTGAAGCATCTCTGCAGGGGTGAGGTCCCAGTGTACAGTTAGATTTTCTTTTACCTGCACCTGAATCTTTTTTGCTTTCTTTGTGCTGCAGAAGGTGGTGGAGGGAATAACAGAGGGAAATTGCAACTCGGTGTTTCATAAATTGTGGTCAGAACCTACCAAGAGACCGTGTGACCTATCTGCGTATGGTGTCAAACTGCGATTAAGAGGGCCAAGGAGGGAGTGATTTCCAGATTACTGGGTTATTCTTGTGCAGAAAGATAATGCTACATTTGGGAAGTATTTGAGCGGAGTTATTCCACAGGTAACCTAAAGGAAGGCTTGCTTTCTTTGCTTCCGATTGTGTAAACCTGTCAATTTATTCAAAGCAATCTGCATTTGGGTTATTTAATACCAAAGGGCTAGCGATCTGAACCAAGAAAAAGAAATAACTGTTAAATTGTACTCCAACAATGCTGGCTACCAGTCAGGATCATTCAGAGTCCTAAGTAATACCAGTTCAATCACAGTAATTGTGGTCTTCCAAGTAGAAAGTGAAGACTCAAAACTCACAATATGCAGAGAGAGAGAGAGAGAGAGAGAGAGAGAGAGAGAGAGAGAGAGACCTTTTACTTTGTCTTAACAACAAGAATTATTTAGATTAACAAATGTCTTTTGTAATCTGGTGGAAGTATAACACCATCTGTTTAATAGTAGCAGTTTATAATGATTTTCCCAAGTCACAGTATCTAATGCATATTTATGTATACCATTAAAAAAAAACCATTCCATTATCTGCATAATCAGATATATCCTGTTTAGTCTTAAATTCCATATCTATGTGATCTTTGTCCATCAAACATTTATAACTGTTGACAGGAGACCTCTAGTTACAGATTATCCTGGACTTATTCCTGGATCTCTCTCTCAGCATCCTCTGTGAAAAAGAGCTGTGTTGCCTCTGGCTAATTTGGGTTGTGATGGCCTGCTGATCTACAGTACCATCACCCTTGACCTCCATCCCCAGACACTCTCCACTTCGCTTGTGTATTGGTCAATACCCAATCGGCAAGCCAGAGAAAATCTGAAACCAGTCCTTGCTCAATTGCAAACCGAGCTTGAATGAACCAAGGCAGTGTACACAGATATTAATTAATGCCTACATTGCTTCTGGCAGTGTCATGGGGCAGCTTGAAAAGTTTGTTAATGAGAACAGGAAACTGGAAGCATATTGCTTGTCTCCTCTCCTAGATCTTTTGAAGGAGCCATATGTAGGATAAGAAAGTTGACATTTTAGAGAGGCTGCTTGGAATATTTATAGCGAACTAGAGACACTGAATCCCAGACAGATCTCAGACAGCTGCTCACTTATTGATACAATAGTTTTAGCCATGAGTAATAAAAATTTCAGAAAACAGTCTGCTACAGAAGGGTTTGCAATTACTTTTAAAATGTTCATTTTAGTTTATACACCACATGGACTTGTTTCATACAGACATTTCCCTACGAACACCCTGTCCAACAGTCAAATCCATCAGCTAAAATAAATCTTCGGTTTCAAGCCAAATCTTGGTGCCTTATGTTTATTAAGTTTAATAATTTAAGAAATGTTTATTGTAAGAACATCTTGGAATTTTATTTTTGAAATGGTTACGGGGTGTTTCCACCACTTGCTTATGTAAAAAAATTCTTTTAAATCACAAACTTCTCAGAGTGGCTAGGACAAATATCGGCAAAACATCAAGAACAAATCAGCTATACAAGTAAAACAGACCAAAAAGCAGAAGGGAAGAATAGTAATGAAATAGAACAGCATCCAAAATCAGGTGAATGCCTGGGTGAATAACAGGTCTAAGCCTCAGACTACATATTGACCAAGGAAGCTGCCCTGTACAGTAATTATTTCACCACCAAGAAAAAGGGTTTTTCCTTGGCAACCACTTGCCCAATTGTGATTTTAGCTATTTCAGCTGTCGCACATCCAAACACAGATGATAATATCCTAACTTGATAACAGCTTGGGACCATGTTACTTGAAATATCTCCACCTACCTGTAGATACCTACCTGAATCTTAAGATCTTTAGGGTCATGGTTCATATGCTATTGGCAAGAGAGATGTTGTAGATGGCTTCAAAGCAGAGCATCTTCTCAGTTGTAGCACCCCAAATAAATCAACCTTTCAGGATGTCCTGGTCCCCACCCAAGAACAGCAACAGGTGCACTTTCTTATAAGTAAAGAAGGTAACCCATTAGCAGATTGACCATGCAAACTCCAAAGAAGAAAAGGGATTAGTTCAGAATCTAGCAAGGGTCAGTTCTGGTGTGTGTGTGTATTGATGATATGCAATGTCCAGACTATCTATCTATCTATCTATCTATCTATCATCTAACTATATTAAAACCTTTACTTTCACAAACATATAACTTAGAAGAATATACTTACAATCTCATGCTCAGGCTTCTCCCTATAAATGTTTAGGGATCACTTCAGACAGATCGCACACTAACACACACTGTCCTCAGCAGTATCCTGAGATGTCTCTGTCAGCAGCTATTCTCCTCTCTCTCTCTCTCTCTCTCTCTCTCACACACACACACACACACACATACATACACACACACACAGAGAGAGAGAGAGAGAGAGAGAGAGAGAGAGAAGCAGAAAAAGAGAGTTAAAATGACAGTTACTTGAATAACAGTCACAATTGAATGGAATGCTTCTCTCATGTGACTCACAGTCAGCCAATCACATGAGAACTATTGCCATAGGAACCCCCCCAGCAATTCAACATAAGCAAACATTTCCAATTCAGGGAATTAAACCATTATCCTTAACAAATTCAGCTCAGGATAGGTGCTTGAAGAATCCTTCAGATAAGTTTGGGGGCAAGGCCAGAGACCAGGATGTGAAACAAAGATCTGAGACTGCACAGGAGCAGTCCAATAATTGACCCTGAGTACACGACACACTTTTAAACAGGAGGGAGAAACCCAGCTACTCGTGAGAATGTTTGTCCACCCAAGAGCTCCTGGCCTGAAGCCATGTGCTCCTTTCTTGGGGGCTGGGGCTGCTGTTGCCTCTTGAGACAAAGATTGGCTGTTCTCCTCCACAACAGCTAAATCTGTTCTGTGGAATTTCCTTTTTCATTAAATTTATTGCTTTTGCTTATACCCTGGGCCATAAAGGTAAAAGGACCCCTGACCGTTAGGTCCAGTTGCGGACGACTCTGGGGTTGCGGCGCTCATCTCACTTTATTGGCTGAGGGAGTTGGCGTACAGCTTCTGGGTCATGTGGCCAGCATGGTGAACCAGAGCAGTGCATGGAAACACCGTTTACCTTCCCGCCAGGGCGGTACGTATTTATCTACTTGCACTGTGGTGTGCTTTCGAACTGCTAGGTTGACAGGAGCTGGGACCGAGCAACGGGAACTCACCCCGTCGCAGGGATTCGAACCGCCGACCTTCTGATCGGCAAGTCCTAGGCTCTGTGGTTTAACCCACAGTGCCACCCGCGTCCCTTTTATCCTGGGCTATAGGCTTACATTATTTAGGGAAACTAAAGAAGGACAGGGGGGCACTTGTGTGCAGACCAGGGTTTGGACTGATCCCTTTTTCTTTTTTCTTTTCTGTAGCTGTGAATAAGCTAAAGGAAACAGTGCAACTAGAGAAAAGTTCCCCAGGCATTCTTAATCATCTCAAACATGAACTTATTGGATCCATAATGAAAAAATTGTTTAAACTTCCTTAGTTACCTAGTTCCTTTATTAGTATATCACCACCATAATCATCTTAGGGAAGAAACATAAAGAAATTAAATTTGTAATCATATTTTTTTAGAAGACTAGCTCTCTGTATGTGCAAGAATGACAAATCACCCAAGAATGCAGCAAAAACATAAAACAAACAAACACACAACAAAATTGTTAATGGACTGGAGATTCTGAGACATAGTCGTAATGATATCATTGACCAGCAAGGTTGTATGCATTCAAAAAGAAGACAAAAATGTAACTTGAGCTTTGTACATTTGAAGCACATGGCTTCCTCTAAAGAATCCTGGGTAGTATAGTTTTCTCCTTGAAGAGTTACAATTCCCAGCACCCTTAATAAACTACAGTTCCCAGGATACTTTGGGGAAACTTTAAATGTATAGTGTGTATGCAGTCTTGTTTACAAGAAAATGGGCTTTATTTCTGATGTTCTACAATACTAAAGTATAGGACTGGATGTGACCATATGCCTTGTTGAAATTGCCACAAATTGTAGTACATTTGCCTCAGAATGTGTTTCATAATTGTCCTCTACTTTACAAGCATAAAAGAAAACAAAATAGAGGGAAAGCTTTGTATGATTATGTCTGTGTGTTTATTTTCAGCTGTGTGCGTTTCATTTTGTGGCTTCTCCTTCAAGTGGTAAGTCTTGGAAGACTTGTTTTTCTTGTGATGCATGTTGTACTCCCATGTCTTGTTCTGCAGGTTCTGCTGCAAGCTGTCTATAACATCATTTGGTATTAGTAATGTTTGCAGAGACTGAATGAAGCCTCTTCGAAGTCGGGTGGGATGCCTCTAATTAGCTGCCTTCCACATTTTTACCCAAATATAATTAAACTTTTAATCCTAAAGTGCCCTGACTATTAGTGGAATGACTTATAATGAATGTTTCCACTGTGGTTTTTAATGTGTTGTGCCTAGCTGCCTTCCTAGCATTCGAATGTTAAAGGAGGGGGAGGGAATCACTGGCCTTCAGGGAATAAAAGGACCCTGGGAATTCATAATAGGATGAGCCGAATTTGATATCAAGCTAATTTCCTTCCAAAAGTATTGACCAAAAACTGAAGTTGTGTGCTAGAGCAAGTGAGAAAGGACCATTTGTTTCCAGAAACTGTGAGAAGATTCTTGAAGATTCTCAAAGCATCAAGGTGCAAGATTCTACAGCAGTTATCTATCTATCTATCTATCTATCTATCTATCTATCTATCATTGACTTGTGCGATTCCTGCAAGGGAGAGACTGCTGAGCTGAGTGCAGGCAGCATGGAAGACTGAAGTGTGCCTTACTATCTGCGTGGTAGTAAAGTTGTAAATAGTCTTAATAACAACAACAACAACAACAATTTATTATTTATACCCCACCCATCTGGCTGGGCTTCCCCAGCCACATAGACATAGACTTCCCGTAGACCTCTGGTTGGTCAGTGTGAGTGCAAGATGTTGGACTAGACGGGCCATTGGTCTCATCCAGCAGGCTTTTCTTATGCTCTTGTGATCCTGTGAATATTCAGTACCGAAAATTCAGAGGAGAGCATTTTAGCAGCCATCTCATTTCGTTTCCAACCCTGGCTCTGTTTTTATGATAACATGCTATTGTGGGGGGTTATATTTAACTTCCAGAAATCCTGCTCAACAAACTCTGCATGCTTCACAATGAAGGAACGCTTGCTTCAGAAACTGAAAGGTATTTCCACTTTTATTCACGATTCCCCATGATCAAGTGAAGTGGCTTGGGCTCAGCATGTTTTATTCTGCTCGGCAGTATAAAGCTCTTAATTAGGTAAGGCATTGCTAGGAATAAGAATGCAAAAATGGCACAGGCATATGTGAGCTAGTAAGCGGTTTACGTTCCGCAGAGTTCCTGGGACAGTCCAGGATCACATGGCTTTGCTGGAGGAGAGCAAATAGAGATTTAGCACTATTTGTAACTGTCCTACTAATTGGGAGGAGCAGAACATGCTCTGATGTGAGAAAGATGTTCTCTATTGTACACTCCGCTAATTAAGCTTGCTGGAAGGCTTACGATTTAGCACAATTTCCTACCAGAATAATTTTTAGTAAAGGGTGAGGGAAGGATGATCTGCTAAAGTGCTTAGTGCTCTAGATGCTGACAAAAGCAGGAATTTAAAAGTCTGGATTCCATTGTAGCTGAAGTTCATTTATCCTAAACATTCTATTTACAGAAGCTGTCACAGTTTGGTGCGGGAATGATGAAATATTCTTTGAAGTCCAACTTATCGTTGTAATTTGTGGCCATATTATCATGTGTGTTTTTTGGCGTTTGCCTGTAGTGTTGCCATCTTTTCATTTTAAAAAATACTGGTCTCCTGGGTGAGACCACCAAGTGATGCCAGAAAAACCTGAACCAGGAAAGAATTTAGCGGATCAGAAATTCACAGGGAATGGGGCCAGGGGTGGTGGTGGGAGGAACGAAAGTGGGGGATATTGACATCAGCACCTTGTCATGGTCAAGTAACTTCATGTTGAGATTTATCGTGTTTTTAATTTTCTGTTGGGAGCCGCCCAGAGTGGCTGAGGAAACCCAGCCAGATGGGTGGGGTATAAATAATTTATTATTATTATTATTATTATTATTATTATTATTATTATTATGGCTCTCAGTCCCCTTTCCCTCCCTGAAGAGGCTATGAGGATGGTCCTCTCTCAGAGGCTGATGGATCCAATTTGTTGCAAGATGGCCAGGACTAAAATGTGTTATATTATGGGAAACTGCTTGCAAAAATGTGTACATGAATAAAAATTGCATGCAAAATTTTGTTTATTCAGAGATATTTGTTGTAAAATGCTGACAAATTTCCATAAGGATTTTTTAAAATATACAGATCTCTACAGAAATGTGGAGAACTGAATTTACCGCTGGAAAAATGACAAATGCAGAGAACAGAAATTCACAGATCCTTTCAACCTGACACTGAGGTAGGAGACATGACCGCTAGGTGAGATAAGGTCCTGATACCTCTTGTTTTATATATCAAACAACTGGTTATTAGGCCTCATTTCTTTTTTAAAAAAGCAACACTCGACCCACTCACTACTTTGCTGTAATCAGTATTTCTGGAAATAAGGATATATATAAAAAAGGATGCAATATTTACATTGAGAAATTGAAAAGGGAGAGAAAACCCTCAGCTGGACTCCAGACTCTGAGATCCATCAGCAGGTTGATCCTCTTTACACAATAGCTAAAGTCCTTTGCATGTCTATGAGTGGCATATAAATAAATGATGATTATTATTACTCACTGAAAAATGGGACACCAGATTCCTCCCCACCCCCCACCCCCCCAAAAAAATCACCTCAAGTTTCCCTTCCGGGAGACAAGTGCATTGGCTAAAGAGAGAGAAAATTGGGATAAATTAGATGGCCTTTGGGGCTTATGATTTATATGTGTGTGTGTGTGTGTCATTTTAACAATCACACATTTTCTTAGTTTTTACACTTTTTGTTGTCGTTTAGTCGTGTCCGACTCTTTGTGACCGCATGGAACAGAGCATGCCAGGCACTCCTGTCTTCCACTGCCTCCCGCAGTTTGGTCAAACTCATGCTGGTAGCTTCGAGAACACTATCCAACCATCTCATCCTCTGTCGTCCCCTTCTCCTTGTGCCCTCAATCTTTCCCAAAATCAAGGTCTTTTCCAGGGAGTCTTCTCTTCTCATGAGGTGGCCAAACTATTGGAGCCTCAGCTTTACGATCTGTCCTTCCAGTGAGCAATTAGGGCTGATTTCCTTAAGAATGGATAGGTTTGATCTTCTTGCAGTCCAGGGGACTCACAAGAGTCTCCTCCAGTACCATAATTCAAAAGCATAAATTCTTCGGCGATCAGCCTTCTTTATGGTCCAGCTCTCACTTCCATACATCACTACTGGGAAAACCATAGCTTTACACTTTACACCATGTCAAATTTATAGTACAATATAAACAAACAGCTAAAGGGGATCGCTGGTGGATTCTCCTCTCTATTAAATGCGTATCATGTGCAAGCCACTTTATATTACATAAATAAGGCCTTTAATCCAGTTACATTTCGGAGCTTGCAACAAGAGTTTAGTCTGTATTTTATCATCCAAAAGTTGAGACTAAGATGTTCTTTTCCAAGAATTCCTGAGACAACGAGTGGAATCCATAGTGGGTTTGACTGGAATCCTACAAAGCGGATTCTCTCACAGGTGGAAGATTTCTACCAATTTGTGATTATTTCAGATTTCCTTTTCCCTATGTGTGCTCCGCTCTGCCCCTCCCATCTTCTTGGAGTGGGGGTCCCACTGGAACAGTGTGGGAAGTGGAAGTGAAAATTTCAGAGGAAAAGGAAATAGCTGAAAATTGCCTCTTTTCCTTTCCACCCATGGGAGCTTCTCATTCATAGATGGAGAGCTTCCTCTGCAGCTTATATCTGCAGCGCCAGTATGAAGTAAGCAGCACATAAGCAGCACACAAAACACTACCAAACCATTCTACGTTCTAAATCTCACATTAATAATCCAAAAAATTGAGAGAACAAGGTACAAGATCTACTACAAAAGCCACAAACAGAAAACTCATTCAGATTGTGTCCAAAAGGAAGATTCAGTCTTTAAAGTTCCTTTAGCCAGGCTCCTGGAGATATCAACAAAGGGAAGTTTGATCAAACGAAGTGTCCGTGATGTTATGCATGAGAGTTAGACAGGGTGCCGTCGTTTGTCACCTGTTTCGCCCATGAAGAGTCTTGGGCTTCTTCAGTAAATTCTCTCTCATGGTTTGGATATAATTATAAACATTCACTGGTGGCACAAACCAAAACTTATTAGTGTTTAAATAAAATTTCTAAATAATATCTGAACAGACAAGTACAAAAGTCTCTGCTTACAGTCCATATGTTACATTCCTTCTTGGCTTAAGCTACAATATTTAATTTCTTTCTTCAGGAAATTCTCCCTCAAGATTTTGGTGTATTTACATACATTCACTGGTGTGCTGCTTATGTGCTGCTTACTTCGTACTGGTCTATATCTGCGGCACAGCAGACCTGGATCCAAGCCAATGCTTTCTGTTTAAAGCAGGAGAAATATATTTTATTCTATATGAGATTATTTTGTTCCAGACTTTTTTGAAATGTGAACTTCTTGCGGAGGAGAATATCAGCTGGTCTTCTCTTACCAAGCCTTGGCAAAGGAAACACCTTTTGAGAAGCTTTGTGTTTTTCCCCTTTTCTTATTGAAGTTGAGGAAAAAGGAGATGGTTTCAACTTCCTGGTCTTTGTTTTGCTGTGCAAAGGAATGGCGCATCTCAGGACATAGAAGAGACAAAGATTGTATTTAAATATGCCATCAAAATGGCCCTAAATCACAATCTCTGTTAGAACCACGCTAACACAATGGCCAAAAGGAAAGAAAAAGCCAGTACAAAATTTTTTGAAAATTGAGCCTTTCTATTGATATCCATAGCCAAGGCATTAAGATACTGATGTGTGAAATTAAGTGGGCCAAAGCTTTGCTCATAAAATAAGTTTAAATAGTTCATGATACTTGGAGAACATTTTAACAGCAGACAAAAACCATGTGTAAAGAAGTCATTTCTTGTTCTTATTGAAATACTAATTTTGAAAAATAGATAATATTGCCAAGGTGGACAGTCCTGCTTTTTTGGGGGGGTGGGGATACCCCTCTAAACTCTTTGATTCC